GCTAGGAATCATCCAAACACTCTGTGACTGTGAAGAGTCATATATTGGAGAAACAAAAAGACCTTGAAATGGTCCCTTAACAAGGTCCTAAGCCGGATTGTCCACAGGAGACCGCATTGCAAAGTGTGCAAGTTTAAGAAAGCTGTATTCATTAAAAACAATGAAAACATCTTTAGCAATCCAAGCGTGAAAATATCTGCAATCTAGGAACCCTTAATAAAGCACCAGTCTTATTATCCTAGCGGAACAACCTCACGCTAGAATTCAAATTACTCTGAACTTCATAATGGATGGTGATGCATCTGTCCGTTAGTATTTCTATTGTCATTATATGTTTGTCTCAGTTCTTCAAATGAACTAAACTCAAACATATTTCCTATACCATATATTTTCGATCATTAAAAAACTACAAAGGATAAATTCAAGTAACAATTTTCAAAAGTACATAAAAAATATATATATGCTATCTATAGGAAATAATAAAATTCGCAATTAGGCAAAAACGATACGTCGCAAATGATTTTTGAGTTCGGATCTAATAAGAAGACATTTTAACAAAATCAATTTTCCCTTCTAATAACAAAACAACAATATTACTTTACAAATTTGACCCAACTCAATGACCTGAGGCGAATTACATATTTACAGGTAAATAAAAAGAAAAAAAAGGTTGCTTTATTTTATTTTTTTTTGTGACGTTTTATCGTTCTAATAACTTGCAAACAATATATCTTTAAAAAAATTCAGAATCTATATGAAGCAGATAATGATTTAATTGAAGCGAAGACACCAGAAATGACAACCAACGAGATTACAGAAATAGAAGACCACGATGTAAGGCAATCCCTTTCAAAACTAAAGAAAAGTATTTATATCCCTTTTTGGGAACTGATCTTTACACTAGACGACGTAGGACTGATCCCCAACCAAGAAATAACGCTCATGGATCAATCGCTTTATCATCTTACAAAGTTACATCACGCAAGAAATACCACGTAAGCGAACGGACTATTAGACGAAGACTTGAAGAAGCTAGTAATAGACCCGTAACAGAACTTCAAAAAAGTCGCGGAGGTGCATTAATGGGTCGCCAACACCAAATAACGTTACAACACAATACATTTTTGAAAATGGTGCTAAATTTTCATTGCCCTTTTTGAGTGTCCAGCAGTTTCGGTAAAACCACAACAGTAATGGTGCGCAAAAGCGCATAAACATTTTCCTTGTGACGTAAGTCGATACAAAAACACGCCGTCTGTGTGAACAATAGTTGTTCTATTCCTTTCTCTGGGGTTCTCCCTTATCTAAACTCCTTTTTCTCGCAGCTGTCTTTTAAAAAGCGCGTGCCTTCCGTGTCTGCTCGCCGAAGAATTCATTGATATATTTCCATCTTTTTTCTTTTATACGATCTGCGTGTAACGACGTAGCCAAATGTCTTCTCCATTGCCCTCACCTTTCCTTTACGCGGGAAAATATTCGTCTGAAACGGGATCGTCGGTCCTGCCCTTCGATCTAACTAACTACGTAGTAAGTAGTAAATAGTAATAATAAGTTTTTTATTTCGCTTTTTAATTTTTTAGTATCTTCTTTATATTACCTACTTTACAGTAATGGAAATCGCATTATATTTAGTAAATTAATCCAGATCCCCTCACCCAACCCTAATCGTAGATAAATATTTTCTTTCTGGTTCAATTCGGATTAAAAAATAATAATCTTTAGTCGCACCTTTATCGGGTTCGATAGAACTACATCATGAGACTACCTACTTATTGATGGGAAAATACTTTTTTCTACTCCAGTCTGTAAAATACCTAATTACGCACCGATCTAGCGTGCGGGAAGCGTCGCTTTACCACGTCAGTTTCGTTTCGCACGAATCCGAACCACTTCGGACATTTCCGGGACTTACCGCACGGGTTTGAGAGCAATCTGATGTTTTCGGAGATATTTCCCACGCTTTGAATTTTGACGTTTGTCAATTCTGACAGTCATGTCAGTGAATGTATTCGTGTTGTTTTGAGAAAATGTATCAAACTAACGGTCGTTGAAAAAGTATAGTATGCAACACGTTCCGTAAACTTTTTAACTCACTCGTTTATTAAACACTCCCTCCGCTCGTGTCAAATAAACTCGTGAGTCAAATGCCGTTTACCGCACTTGTTATAAGCTACAATTAAAATCTGATGGACTAGTAGGTAAGTAAAGTTACATTTATAATTTAAGATTCCCATAGAAATTTTACATACCGTTCGTATGAACTTCAGTGGTTTTTATAGTTTTTATATTAATATTTTGCCAAGACCAATTGTACCATTTTCAAATATCCATGTCCCATCAGTACAAACAAAACAAAATTGAGGGTTATAGCCTGCTTTTTCTTGCTTATACGCTTCGCTGGTGTCAAATAAACTCGTGAGTCAAATGCAGTTTACCGCACCTGTCGCATAATATACTATATACTTGTTTACCGATTCCAATCCATATGCATGCATATTTTAATAACTACTTCCGAGAGTACTTCATAGCCTCGTTCATAAATCTGGGCGATGTACCCAATAATATATAAAATTTCGCACTTTTGTGAACTTTTTTACCAGACTCTTAATTTACAATCTTTTTAGCTTTTCATGACATTCCTGTATTGGAACTTCGACTTAAATTGAATAACACCTGGTGGTATTTTACTACATACATACATACACTAACATGACCGTCAGAATTGACAAACGTCAAAAATCAAAGCATGGGAAATATCTCCGAAAACATCCGATCGCTTCCAAACCCGTGCGGTAAAATTCCGGAAATGTCCGAAATGGCTCGGATTCGTGGGAAACGAAACTGACGTGGTAAAGTGACGCTTCCCGCACGCTAGATCGGTGCGTAATTAGGTATTTTACAGACGGGAGTAGAAAAACTTTTTACCTCAATCGTTTATTAATACTGACGTTATTGAGGAGGTTGACCTGCGATATCCTACATACAAGATGGCATATATTTTGTTAGCGAGGTGACAATAATATAATGAACTGACTGTATTTATGTCACAAGATGCCTGTGCAGGGAAGACTTGATATAGTTTATCGCAAGTAATAATAATTATAATTTATCAATCATTGTTGCTTGGTATTAACGTTTTTAGTGATCCCATCTCTCCAAGGCTTGGACTGTTTGGATGGTATATAATAATAAGTAAATCTAAATCCCTTTTTAAAACAAAATTCCGACGAAGTAATCTCGAAGACAAAATTTCTGTTACCCCAGAGGGGTTCTCTCACAATCCACAATAAAAGGCAATAAAGATGATAATGTTTAATATTCTGAGAAATTCCAACCAAAACTATAACCCGCGGTATAACCATTACTCAAACTACAGACATTTTACAAGACCCAGGTGTAATAACCAAGGTAATAACTAAATATCGCTAGAATTCGGACATAGATTAGGCAATGCCGCATTCAGATTTTGCTTCATTTATATCGCAAACCTCTAGAAGGCATTGCAAAGTTTATTAATAGCCGTAATCGATATCTGACGAGGTTCCATAAATAAATACCTAATCAAATAATTTAACAAATAATACAATTTCCAAAACCGAAATGTTTATAGGAATAAGTTCCAAACATATTTCTATTTTATTTTTATAAAAATCGATTTACGATCAAGAGTCGCCCTTTTTCATTTTCCACCATTCTGACGGGTGTTGATATAAGGGACCAGCTGGCATGCAGTGGCACTATACTATTCTTTGTGGTACGTGTATTGGTAACGCAGTAAACAATGTCGGTGACCATCACCAACATTTACCTACACACGCACACACCTAAATCAATTGCGTATAAAGCATGACATCTTCTTGAAGAATTCTTATAGTCTTTGACTATAAGACAAATAGACTATTATGTCCCTCATAATAGAATATGAAGTTGCTGCTGCAAAATATGAAATTTTCAGCTCTGAAAATTACTGCGGAAAACGATTTTCCCGAAGGTTAACGTCATCGTGTCATTAACCAATCACAAACTAATGGTTGTGTCGCTTAAATGTTACGTCGAAAACGCTATTGGTGATGATTCAATGACGCGCAGCAGCAGCAAAAGTCGCATATTTTGCCGGACTTTACTAACGACAAATGGTTCCAATTCTCTAATACTTTTTTTAAGATAGAGAAAGAAAATGTCAAAGCTTCCTATTTATTGACGAATTTCGTACTTGTACATTGAAATGTGCAAAAAAAGGTAGATTTCCGTAGAAAAAATAAAATGAAAATTATAGGCAATGCTACCAACTTTCGTAAGTTTTAGCCAACAGAACTCTTCTATTATACTTTCTCACGGAAATGACTTGGCAATTTTGTTACAGTGTTATCCCGAGGATTAACCCTTCGCATTTTTTAATACCGAGCTTAATCCAAAACTAAGGTGGTTATTGTACTATTGAGAGGCGTAGAAACTTAGCATTATGACCCGTACATTCAATTCAATATCAAGTAACAACAAATAACACAGACTACTAGACTCTTTAAAATTCGTTTTCAAGTATACTTAAATGTGAAATTTATTTTAAAATTCGTCGTCACATAAAGTCTGCAAGAAATAAAGTGAGACCAGCATTGTTTTAACTTTTTAAAGAACATGTTAGGTATTGGGCTAGATATAAACACAAACCGACTTTTCTCCAATAAAACGCCGATATATCCTCATGTGGTATATTCTTATTTTGGACACGCCGAGCCACACTATATAATCTCAATATTTGGTTAAATTCGAATGAATTGTTGACTTGAAACGGTAACAAGCGTAAACGTAATGCCTTTTGCACTTTTTGGCGGTTCTTGATCGATACATACATACAATACATGACGAACTGTGCAACATATAAAAAATTTAAAAAAATAACGTGCCCTGGAAAACAATTGAACTACTTAAATGTTGTTGAACAAATCGACAAGATTGTATATTTCCTACTTAAAAGTCACATGTAAACAAAATGTACTTACAGATCAGCTTCCGAGTTAAGATAATAGTTGGCCATAATTATTATCCAATCAAGAGGCGAAAGCCCCGTAGGGGCTGCACCAAAACGCACGAACTCGTTTTGTTGACAAAGCAATAATTATTTTTAGCGTTTTAACGCGTTTAACGCGAATCTCGCGCAAAACTCCCTACCCCAACACGAAACCACGACATACTAAGAACACCCAAACAAGACGAAAATTACAAACGAACTACCCGGACCCGGAATAAGAATAAATAATGCTTATTCTGAGGTAACAATGTACTGCAAATCATAGAACACTAAGTTGTTCTATCATGATTCTGGTCAGTTGTTCTCTCCCGCTGTTGATATAGTCACAGAATACACGTTGTTGTCTATTCCGTGTTATGGTGGTGAGATGAGGGGCGATTTTTAAATAAACTAATCCGCATTTTCTGGTGGAGTAGCCCTTAACGTCATAGCCAAATCCAGTAGGATTCAATTGGAGATAAAAAAATGATACCGAATTTAATCCACATCCTGTGACCAGTTAGCCAGTTTGTTTCTAATTTCTCTTTAGTCGTTTATATTTTAATTTTGGATTGCTATGGCAAAAATGCGTGAAACTTTGTGACATCTTAAAACATGAATAGCTTTACTTTAACTGAAGTAAGTTTAGGTAAGATTGACAGGATTAAGTGTTTAGTATGCCGCCAGAAACTAACCAACACTAACCTTAATATTCTGTGGTTTTGAGGCTAATTTGATATTTGAACAATATTGTATCTTGTGAAATACTAATTCTTTTTCGCAAAAATGGATGATTTTGCTTGCCCAAGATGTAGGACTACAAAATTTCAAAACCCGTCATTGAAAATGATGGTAAATGTTTGTGGACACGGCCTATGTGAAAGTTGTGTAGATTTACTTTTTTTAAAAGGTAGCTAGTTTAAAGATATCAATAATTAAAATTTTATTATCTTTTTTTCAACGAATTATAGGATCAGGAGCTTGCCCAGATTGCAAAATTCCTCTCCGAAGAAATAATTTTCGAGTTCAACTTTTTGAGGATGCACTTGTAGAAAAAGAGGTTGATATTAGAAAGAGAGTATTACGAGATTTCAACAAAAAGGAAGAAGATTTTAATTCTTTGGCTGAATACAATGATTACCTAGAGGAAATTGAATCAATTATCTATAATCTAACTAACAATATCGACATAGTTAATACAAATAAAAGGATTGAACAATACAAAAAAGAAAACAGAGAACAGATTCAAAAAAGCAAAGGTAGACTAGGTAGGGACGAATACGAAATTGAAGAACTATTAGAATTAGAAAAACAAATGAACGAAGTTAGGAAACAGCAAATTATAATAGAAGAAGCAGAAGCAAAGAGAAAAAAAATTAGAGAGAAAGAAGCATTAATTGATGAACTTATGTTTTCTAATACTAATGCCAAAAATATTATAGAAACTTATGCTCAACAAGTAAAAGAATCTAAGGAGGAAGAGGCTAGGAAACCTCCAAAAATTACCAAATTTTCCAGTGGTATTCAGTTTGGTCGACAATCACAGACAACATTTTTACCAGTACCTAATGATGAAGGTGCATTATATCATTATTCCCCACTTGTTTTTGAAACAGTTGGTCCAGTTCCTCCATCAGAAGAAGATTTGACAGTTAAAGGTTTTATTAAACATGTTCGAAGTGAAACTGAACAGGAACGGGCTGGCGGATTTAAATCAAATATTGCTTGTATGAGAGCATTGCAAGAAGCTATGATGGGACTGTACTATTGCAAAGCAGTCTTTTGATACATATTTTAGTTGAATTACATTACATTACAAAAGAACATATTGGTTGAAATTAAAAACTTTTGTTATTAAATTATTTTAATTTATTGTAATATTATAATAATGTTATGATACAACAGGAACCCTAACAAAATCAGTTGGCCATAAAAAGACAGTTTTCAATTAAAATTTTCGAGAATAATTAAGTGCAGTAAAGGATTAATAATTATCTTGAGATACAATAAGATTGTACTATTGAAAGACAAAAGATAATTATCAACTTTGACCAAATTGTGTGTTTTGATGGTTAGTTTAATTACATTTGATATAATCAGTTAGGGTTCACACAGACAATTCCAAAAAACATATTGGTTGAAATTAAAAACTTTTTGTTATTAAATTCTTTTCATTTATTGTACCTTTAAGTTTTGTATAATTTTATAGGATGCTGTTTCTAATTTATAAATTAATATTACAATGATGTTATGATGATGACAGATACAACAGGAACACAAGTTTTTCAAGACCACAACACCCATAACAAAAGTATTTGGCTATAAAAAGCCAGTATTATTTAAAGTAATTAAGGGAAGTAAAGGATTAATAATTATCTGAGATAAAATAAGAATGTGGCACGGATCGACAAAAGATAATTACCAACTCTGACCAAATTCTGCAGATTTACATTAAAAAAAAAAAGCTGGTTTGGTATATTGTCATTTATATTCCTGTGTTTTTAAACATTACCAAGTTGTGGTCGTTTATTGCGTTCAGTAAATCCGTAAATTAAATCGCAATATAATGATATACAGGTAAGTTAAGTTGTTTTTACATTTTGCTATTTTTATTTTTTACCAGGTGAATATTTAAAATAGGGGTTTAACATAAACCGACGGGTACCAGTTTAACTTAAAATAATCCGATACATGTATACATTGAATTGACCCTCTGGTTCTTTGATTATTTTTAATTATTATTTTATTTCTTTGTAAACATAAACTTCAATTTTCGCTATGCTGCCTTCCAAATTTTCCTTGAACAGCTAAAAATGTGCATTTTGTTCAAATGTGTAAAAATATGTCAGATATTAAATTTTTAGAGAAAAAAAACGAGTTGAATGTTTGGGAATCGCTGTACGAGTATCAATTTACTTCAATCAACTTTTATTTTATATATAAACTCGGGTCTCGAGGCTCCGTTAGGTACAAGTAATTACTATAGATACGGCCCTTCTGTACCTCAACTCCAAGAAGTTTGCGGTTACGATTTGTATTAACTAGTATCTAACGTCGTCATATTGTCGCTGGAAAAAAGTTTTTACACAGCTGTTTCATTGGGGAGCTGTGGTAGTCGGACGAACAAATTTTAGAAAATACTTTCAGGCAAAATTCTAATTAGATTTAACACTACACCAAGTACTACCAAATTAAATAAACTAGATTTAATGTTTAAAAATATATTTTTATAAATATGTTATAACATTAAAATATCAATGCACAATCACAAATTGCACAAAGAAAAACATTAAATCATTTTAAACTAAAAAGAGTTTAACAGCGAAAGCGTTAGCGAACGGGTCTTTAACGTTACATTAGAATACATTTATCTGCATTATATAGCACCAACATCAATCCAACCATTAAAAAAAAAGACCAGTAGAGAAGTCCACATATAGATACTGCGCCGATTGTTATACTCAGTCTCAGTAACAAAAAACATAAGTTCCGAGATCTAAATGACTAAATTGAATTTTTTTAATCCCTTTTCGTGTTCTGAAAACAATTTTGTTGCACCAGTTTTTTTGTACAAGATAGCTACATGTTTCTTTGGCAGTTACCTTTTTTCATATTTATACATTTTTAGAGATGCTTTGGTAATAAACACTCATAAGGAGTATAAACAAGATCTAAAAATCACATTAGAAAAATATAATTTTTACAAAAATAACAATATTGGTGTTTTAATTCACTCTATTAATTTCTTATAGTTTAACCTAAAAATACCTGTGCAAATTATGCAGTCCTGATCTTAAAAAGACGTTGAAGTTTGTCACCTAATATGGCACATGCAATCGTCCAAATACACGCATTTACTTGACAATATATGTTTCAGTGTGACAGGTGGTAATACTGTAAGTGTTTGAAAAGGAAAGTTTCCGAATTAAATTGGTCGACCACGAATTGTAAGAACTGATTGCTTGAACTGTACATTATTCTGAAGTAGTATTGGTATATGCACGTCACAGTTACCATACGTTTGTCCTACCGCTACATCGCTCAGGCAACATTAATATACTCACGAGAACCCGGAATTATCACTAGATTTCTTAAATTTATAATTCAAATCGAAAGGTGAACAGGTTCAATTTTAACTCAGTTGTTACGCATGTTAAGCATTTTCGGTAAATACCCTATTGCTTATAGGTGGGATCATGGCTGATTTGGTATTTGGTAAACTACTACTTAACATTGAAGCCGGTGGTGAATTTATCGTTCAAGTAGATGATTCCGATTCTAACGTGAACGGGAAAGAGAGCTAACCGCATGCCCGACAAAAATAAAGGTGGGCTGTTATTAACCGTTTATTTCTATATCATTTATATTTAGATACTAATACATAATAGATACCCATACGGGAAATGATGTTCCAACTAGCCGCTTTTGCGAAATATTTTGGCATTTATTAACATCTATTAGATTTTTAAACACATATGTAGACAATACCACCGCTTGATAAACTACATAGGTGTAATATGATGTGATGATTTGTATATTTATGGGGACCCTTTTTCTAAAAAACGTCATATTTTTGCTCTATCGCGTCATTTTTTTTTATAGCGCTCTATATGTTAAAAATGTTACTTTATTAACATACATACCTAAGACATGAATATGTTTGTTCCATGTTAGGAATTATTTTTATGAAATTAAATATGGTTTGGCAATACTGGATAATATAAAAAATGAAAAATGTATACCACGCTTATTTTGGTGTAAAATTGGCGACCAAGACAAATCCTGGAATCATACTGTTTATACCATTTGCGTTGAATTATTAAGAAACTAGCAAAACAATAGGAAGAAATGTTTAAGCGCTGGTGTTCCTATGAAGAAACAAATTGTATATCCTAATCTTGACTCTGTTATTCTATTATGTCTACCGCCCCGAAACAACTAGAAAACGTCATCTCGTCAGAATTAGAGGAATCTAATTCCGACCCAGATGACTCAGAGAAATTTCCAACCATATCTGACGCCAAGATGAAAAAAGGTATTTTTGTTGGGCCGCAGATAAGAACATTATGCAAAGACAAGGTTTCATTTAGAGAAGTAATTGATAAGTTTCTGGAGAACTCTAAGGACGGAAACTACGAAAGTATTGTTCAAAATATGTTACAACACTTTCATCGTCTAGGTCAGGGGTTCCCAAAGTGTGCGCCGCGGCGCCCTGGTGCGCCGTAGAATGTAAAGAGGGGCGCCGTAAGTCCATCATCATTCATTATCCGAAACATGTCCGAAACAAATATACGCGGGTACCTTATTTGAGCCCTCGCATCTATAAAAACATAGTTACCTACTAACCATCGCGTCGCGGCGTTTCTCACTCGCCAAAAAACCTACGCCCGCGCCGCCCTGATACCCTACCCCCCCTCCTAAGTCTTTAGTAGCATCGGGCGAGCTGCGACGGACGGACGTGTCATAGTGTTTTCTTTCGCTTTGTTTTTCGTCAAATATCTCACGCAAAATGGACAGATTTTTATTAAATAAACAAGTTGGCAGTCCAAATGACAGTGATAATGCATCAACTAGTAATGGCAAGGAAGCAAAGAAGCGGAAATATCGTAAATACGATGATAGCTATTTGGACTTTGGTTTTACTTCAATAGAAGTTAATAATGAAGAAAGACCGCAGTGTGTGCTTTGTTTAAAAATATTGTCATCCGAAAGTATGCTTCCAAGTAAGTTAAAGCGACATCTTGAGACAATTCATCCAACTATGGTTGAAAAATCGCGTGATTTTTTTCACCGAAAATTACAAAATTTAAATAAAACAAAAAACGTATTCACTCAGCAAGCCTCAGTACCTAACAACGCACTGTTAGCATCATTCAAGGTAGCATACAGGGTGGCAAAATGCAAAAAACCTCATACTATTGCAGAAGAGCTTATTCTACCGGCTGCTCTCGACATGGTAAACATTATGGTTGGAGAATCGGCAGGAAAATTAATTTCCAAGGTACCCTTATCTAACAACACGATCGGTCGAAGAATCCATGACATAGCTGAGGATCTCAATTACCAATTAATAGAAAAAATCAAAAACAATTATTTTGGTTTGCAACTTGATGAGGCTACTGACAGTAATAATGATGCGCATCTTATTTGCTACGTACGCTTTCTGACTGACAATATTATTGTCGAAGATCTGTTATTCTGCAAAACCATTACCGAAAGTGCGAAGGCCCAAGACTTATTTGAAATTATTGACAATTTTTTTGTAGAAAATGGTTTGAATTGGGAAAAGTGTATTGGTATTTGTACTGATGGCGCTCGATCCATGTCTGGCAGGTATGGAGGAGTACAAGCGCTTATTCGTAAAAAAGCACCGAATGCTTTGTGGACCCATTGCATCATCCATAGAGAAGCTCTTGCATCAAAATCTATGAGCTCCGAACTTAACCAAGTACTGGAATCTGTAATTAACGTAGTAAACTACATAAAAACTAGGCCTCTTAAGGCCAGACTTTTTAAAAAACTATGCTTGGATATGGGGGCTGAGCATACGGCCCTGCTGTATTATTGCAATTCACGGTGGCTATCACGTGGAAATGTTTTATTTCGTGTGTTCGAATTACACGAAGAAATTCGAACTTTTTTACAGCAAGAACGTCATGAAAGCGCCAAATATTTTACTGAACCAGACTTTTTGTTAAAACTAGCATATTTGTGCGATATATTTGAGAAACTAAATAATTTGAATCTGTCTTTGCAAGGTAATAACACGCACATTCTGAAACTATCGGAGAGAATTGCGGCATTTAAAAAGAAACTACAGTTGTGGATAAATAAAATGAATGAAGGCGGCGGTCAAGATTGCTTCCCGCAGCTGTATAAATATGCGGCATCTAATGAATTGGTTGTCTCACCAGACCTGATTGCCCTCTTCACGGAACACCTATTGAAGCTCAGCGAATGGTTTTCGGCGTACTTTAAAGATGATGATGTTGAAAAATTTGCATGGATCAAAGATCCTTTCCACGCACAAGCTCCACCAGGGTTCACATCACAAGATGAAGAGAGTCTCATTGAGCTCTCTTGCGACAGCAGTCTTAAAACTAGATTCATCACTTCCGACTTGTTGGAGTTTTGGTTATCAATTCAAAATGAATATCCAAATTTAGCTTCAAAAGCTTTAAGAATTTTCATTCCGTTTGCAACGTCATATTTATGCGAGTCTGGTTTTTCAGCTGTAGCTGTAATTAAGAACAAATATCGCTCGAGAATCAATGTGGAGAAAGAAATGAGAGTAGCAGTGTCAAGTCTTATTCCCCGCTTTGAAAAACTGTGTGCATATCACCAAGCTCACCCATCACATTGATTTGACTGACAATCGTACATATTTTATTTTTGTTTTTCATAAGACTTAAGAAATACACAAGTTATTTCCAGTTTTAATTATTTTATAATATTAAAAAGTCTGTTTGATTGTAAGTGTTTTAATTTATAATCCTATCTAACCTAACTACTATCATAAACAATTATTATAGGTGCCTATTTCTTCTTTTTTAAAGAGCAGGGCGCCGTGATAAAGTACTAAATTTGTAACTGCGCCGCGGGATAAAAAAGATTGGGAACCCCTGGTCTAGGTTGTAATATGAGTTTGAAAGTGCATTTCCTGTCTTTTTGAACTACTTTCCTGAAAGCTTGGAGCAGTTAGCGAAGAACAGGGAGACAAGTTTTACCAGGCCATTAAGGAAATGAAACTGCGATACCAAAGCATAATGATGGCAGATTACAGCTGGATGTTAAAATGGGATATGCCCTTAAAAACACACAAATACAAATAAATGCATATAATTTTTTAAATCAGCCTACCAAAATTATATAAAATCATTTTTCAAAATAAAAACATCTGCCGAAAAGTTTAAGGTAGACCTGTGCAATTTAACATCTCTCTCACTTATATAGTCTTTCTGGCCGTGTTGACACCTAAATAATGTGAAGAAAGATATGATTGTAAACTTGTATTATCTCCGCCGCATTGTAGCTGGTATGCATTTTACATGTTTATATACCGACTGCAATAATAGAACCTCATTTCCTAATTGGTGGCATGTTATATTACTGGACCAAAGGACCCAAAATACTTCGTTATGGCTTAGTTTCCGGAAATTACATTTTAGATACCAAACGACACGTCGATGTGCGTATTTGTATATTATGCATCAGGTTGTTTAAACGACAGCGGGCGAGAGTTCAATAAAACAGCGTCTGATAATACAGAACTAATCAGTGCATAATTGGGTATTTTAGAATAGGCAATAGAAAAAAAACATTTTTCTAAATAAATTTTTGAGGCACCTTTCACCTTTCGAAGTTGAATGATCGATTTTTTAGAGTGAATTTTAATTTTCTATTTTTCTTAGGTATCGGTATTCATTTTTATAATATTTTTGTCATTGGAAAAATGTTATGTGGGTTTATTCGCCACGTAGCGTATTCGACCTTGCCGAATAACTCACAATTTCTACTTTACTTTACGCCAGCAGATCTGCAGTTACAAATTTGTGTGATGAATGAGAGAATACAAAATGCATATACAAATTTGCAGGAAAACAGTTGAAATTAAAGATGCAAAAAAAATACAGACAAGGACGAGCAATGGATAGCAACTAACTAAAGATACTAAGGTCCAATAAGCTACGTTTTTGCAGTAAATGTTTTAGATTGCTGTTAACCAAAACTAGAGAATATGACAGAATATGTTATAGTTATTATGGTTAGTGATATTGCACAGTTTTGTGACATTTATTTTACAAATTATATGTGATGCAATTGAAAATATTCAAAATGGGATTGCAAATTATCATTAAAGCATGCAACATTTTTTCTTGTCTCGTTTTGTATAATTTGGCTTTAAAGGAGGTCTTTCTGAAAGTTGAAATTTGCGCACAACCCTTACAAGTTCATAAAAGGCATTATCAACATTCATTCTCATTTTAGCACTACATTCAATGTATGGAATTTTAAGGTTACGTGCTAGCTGCTGCGCTTCTTCTTGCCAAACTACTCTTTGCTGTTCCAAATCAACCTGGAATTATAATATGCCTCTTTTAATTAGATAAGGCTAACTGAAGAATCGGAATTTTGCAGTAATATGGTACTACTTCATTGCTTTGAGTAAAAAAACTCGGAAAAGGAAAACTGAAATATTGATTATAGCCTAAAGGCACATACATCATTGTCGCATTTTTCTATGATAAATAAAAATTTTGATTTGATATTTTAGTCAAATGCTGTGTAACTTCTGCAGCCCAGCTTTACCATTTAATTTAATTTTGTGATCATTTATGAAGTGCGACAAAACTGGGACAAACATAAACCTGTTAAAAACAAAAACAGAATTGTTGTCTCTAAACATAAGTTTAGTTTCTGTACTTGTGCATTGTAAATAATAATAATCAAATTAGACTTACCTTATTTCCAACCATAAGCATTGGAAATTCATCTCTATCTTTTACCCTCAATATTTGTCTATGAAATTTATATATTTCATCAAAACTTGATCTTTCTGTAACTGAGAACACTAATAAAAAACCTTCACCTGATCTCATATACTGTTCCCTCATAGCACTGAACTCCTCTTGACCAGCTGTGTCTAAAACTTTGAGAGAGATCACTGTTTATAAATATCAACATTGATCAAAAAACAAAAACATAAAAGCTTGTCTTGGTGTCTCCAAATTGTTTAATTTAAACATAGAATATTTGTTTATATAATTTACATGATACTTACTATCTAATTTGGCAGGTATATCGTCTATAACACATTGTTTTGTATATGAATCTTCTATTGTTGGATCATAATCAGTCACAAAATAACTCTGTAACGAAACGCCCATATAAAACAATTCTACCTCGTCAAAATACAGGTTTATACAAAGTAAACCATATCAAAAGCCTTAAAAGGAAAATTGATTGCCCAGCCCACCTGAGCTTTCATGGTGCAATAATATGGCATTTCACAAATTCAATCTAAGTAAATTAATACCACTGTTAAAAGAGATTACCTGAATAAACTGCAAAGTTATTGCAGATTTCCCAACGCCTCCACCACCGACTATTACTAATTTGTAGGTTTGATGATTTGGAGCCCTATCACTAAGTTTGGACATTGTACGCACACCTCGAAACTTAAATGTGCTATTTGCCAAACTCAAAATATACCACTGAAATGCACGTTATATTTGCAAATATTTTTCAAAGCTATTATATCGTAAACATGAAAAATGGTAAAATAAAAATACAATGCAATTATTGGTACAATTTAATCACAGAACGCGATTGGTCAGTTTTTGAAAATATCGTAAAGAAAAATTTAACCCGTTCAACTGTGCCAAAGATAAAAAATGTTTATAATCAAATGATATGTTGTTATATTTTACAAAAGTATAATAAAAACTATTGTAAATAAAATGTTATTTTCAAAAAAAAATTAATGGTTTAATGGTATATTAGCGACAATTTAGCTTCACCGGTTTAGTTTAGTGGGAACAAGTGTATTTATAAAATGTCGATAATGCGCGCATAATCATAGTAGATTTGCCCGACATGTTGAGATATTCAGTAACCTTTGTGCCTCGAGTTCATTTCGAGACAAATGTTAAATCCAATAATCGATTGATCTTTCGACCAATTTCAGCATTTGTTTCTATAAAGATTAACAGGTCTGATAGTAAACAAAAAAAACTGTTTTACAAAAAAGAAAGAAAATATAAATCACTACAAAATTGAAAAACTGTAGAATTACCGAACTGACACCACTACTGTATTTTGTGGCTACTATATTAGCAAGTTTATTTTCCGGAATCCGGAATGTCAGTATAACACATTATGTCTAGCACCCCTTATAGGGTGTGGTTGTAGCATTCTGATTAACATTTAGCCAGCCGGTGGACATCACTCGCCAAGTGCAATCATTAATCATTAATCACAAAAGTCTGTCTTTAGCAGGCCCGTGAACACGAACCAGAAAATCATTAACATTTAATTGGAATTTACATGCCCACTGCGGTACACCTGAACTATGAACATTACCAGGGTCAATCGGCCCAAAAATAGTCTTTGATCATTGAAACAAGTAACTCTCTTTCTGTTGTAACGATTCATGGATATTGGCCAATTGCCCTTTTACAATTCACTGTTTTACAAAAAACTAATTTTCCTGTTCTGTGGTGGTAGCTATTATATTTCATTAAACGTCATCGTCATACGTGATACTAGAGTTTATTTAAATGTATTAAAGTTGAGGAAGGGCTGTGTGTTGTGTGTGTACTAAGTGCTTAAAAACTTCTTGTTTTAATTAAGTAGCCTTCATGGGCGATTCACTCGATGGGAGTGAAAATCCTCCCGAAAATCAGAATGTAGCTGTTGTGGATTTTACGGCTTTTATAAATTTTGTTTTGAAAGCGGCTACAGTTCTTTTGCCCGATGATGATTCACAAGCAGAGCCCAAAACTTTGGTGGCTGCTTTGGATGACAAAATCAATCAGGAGTACATAAAAAAGTTTATAAGTGATCCACAAGTAACAACTCTCTACATTCAAAGGAATTCTTCTAAAGGTATGTTCTATCAGAAATGTTGTTTTCTTTCACTTCGTTTTTTAGCGAAACTTTTCCATTTTTTGGCAAAGAAAATGGAAAAGATCTGATGTCTTGTAAAATTCTTTATGTTGTTAGTCAAACCGGTTCATTTTTTCCAGTTTTTTTTTAATTCAATGCGTGCTATGAAAATATGGCCGTTTTATGAAATTCTAGTTTTATTTCAAACTTAGAACTAAACAATAACAGATATGATGTAAACTGCATCATAAGAATAATTTGTTAAGAAATTTCTCATTCTCTATAAAGTTCGCGTTTGGTTTTGACATTACAGAGGCATTAAAAAAACGGAAATAGTGTCTCTAATATTTTTACATTTTTATTTTGGTGTTTTTACAATAAATTATTTTATTTTATTAGTAACGCTTTGACTCTCCATTAACATGTGTTTTTGACTATAAAAAAATGGCAACGAGGAGGTGATTTCAACATTATACAGAACTTGGCAGAATTCCCTACCTTTTCCAAATGTTGCGCCAAAAAATGTTTTTTTTTTCACCATCTTACATTCATTCTCTGTATAAGTAGGAGGGAATTAAGACAAAATCTGACACCACTAACGCATAGACAAAGGATAGCGCTTTGCAGCACTGGTTGAAAATCCAACATAGGCAAAGAAGTGTCTACGTTAGCTAGGCAAAATTAGGCAACTTTTTGAACGTTTTAAGTCTTCTGCCTTTCGGGTTAGGTGACATTGTACAAAATCACTATTAATCTAAACAATACTACATCATTTTTTGTGGTAAAATGAAAAAAAAATTGTTAGAGAGAAATTAGAAGGAGAAAATAACATTTAAAATATGTAATTTGAATAAAAGGAATAATTCAATATAAATGCCAAAACGTTTAATAAACATTTCATCTTCTGACAAAGCCTATATATTATCATCAAGCTGTATCAAATATGCATAAGAAAAAATAAAAAATCAATTAGTTTGCTTATAGATTTAAATAATAATTGTTTCATTTTAATAACCAAAGGGTTAACGAAATAACAACGTAGAATTGAACATAGAGTTGCGTCTATTTAATTCTATTTTATTGTAATTATTTGTGACCATGGGGAATGTGTTTGAACTGGTCCGGCAGTGGTGTATTATATTTTGTTGATGGATTTTTTGCGTTCTGAATACCTATGTTATTGCTATCCCCATCAAAATCACAAATTTATTTGCGTTTTCTCTATGTTGATTTTTTTGGCATATTGGTACTTTTTTATTATTTAAATAATGTATTTGTTAAGATGAGGATAGTGATCAGCCTCCAGAAGGTGAAGAAGAGAAGGAACCTGTTACCTACTATGTCAGTAATGAAGTTCACTATACTAGCAACAAAATGGCAAGCCTTGCTTGCATTAAAAGAGGCAGTGTTATAGAAGCTGATAAAAGCATCAGAGCTCAGGTAACAAGAGAAGAGAGAGGTAACAAGAGAAGTTATGCAATATTTAAGAAAAAATCTGTTTTTAATGTTATTGTTTGTAATTTTTTAACCAATTCTTTCCGAGCAGTTTCAAGATTAATATCCATCTATTTTTTTTAATTTTCCCTGTTGAATGTTAACATTTTGATTGTTTACTTGTATTAGGTTCGTCTATTGAACTTCAGTGATGGCTCCCCATATGAGATCCTCCATGATTATGTCAGTAAAACAGTAGCACCATTCTTTAAGTCGTATGTCAAAGAATCTGGAAGAGCTGATAGGTAATTAGAGTCCAGTGGTGTTGAATATTTAAATATGAACCCGGTTTTACAATTTTTTCAGGGATGGAGACAAAATGGCACCTTCCGTTGAAAAAACCATTGCCGAGCTTGAGATGGGACTGCTACATCTTCAACAAAATATTGATATTCCAGAAATAACGCTGCAGGTGCATCCTTATGTTGCAAGCCTAATTAAGCAGTGTGCCGACGAGGGAAGAAAACCTAAAGTAGCAGATTTTGCAGATAAAGTCGAGGACTCCAATTTTTTAAATCAATTGCAACATGGAGTGAATAGATGGATAAAGGAGATTCAAAAGGCAGGCTACTTTTAGTCACTTGTTTTATTCAATGAGTTATTCATATTATTCTAGGTTACAAAGTTGGATCGAGATCCATCATCTGGTACAGCATTGCAAGAAATCAGTTTCTGGTTAAATTTGGAAAGAGCGTTACATCGTATTCAGGAGAAGCGGGAAAGTATTGAAGTTGCATTGACGCTTGACATTCTTAAGCATGGAAAAGTTAGTATAACACTACTGGATATAGTGGCATAGTCTACAATATTTAATGGTTTATTTTTCTAGCGATTTCATGCAACAGTTTCTTTTGATACGGATACTGGTTTGAAACAAGCTATTGCTACAGTAAATGATTATAATCCTCTAATGAAAGATTTTCCTATCAATGATTTACTCTCTGCAACAGAACTGGAAAGAATTCGTGCTGCAGTTCAATTAATTTTTTCCCATCTGAAAAAAGTCAGGTTTGTAAATAATAATAATTAAATATTCTATTCATATTTTTATTGGGAATTTTATTCTAGGTCAACCAAATATCCAATTCAGAGGTGTTTGAGATTAGTGGAAGCGATTTCCAGAGACTTGGGAGGTCAGTTACTAAAAGTGTTGGGAACAAGAAGATTGATGCATATCCAGTTTGATGACTTCGATAAAGTAATGACACAGTGTTTTGAGGTTTTCGGTATTTGGGAAGATGAATATGAGAAACTGCAAGCACTGTTAAGGTGAATTAATTATTTATGATGCTATTTAACTGTATCTCAGCCAAGCACTTTTTAAGCTTTTGTAATAAGAATGTATTGGCAAATATCCACTTTTATTCTAGGGACATAATGAAGAAAAAACGAGACGAACATATGAAGATGGTGTGGCGCATATCAGCCCAACATAAAAAGTTGCAAAACCGAATGGAGCAGATGCGTAAATTCCGATATCAACATGAGCAGCTAAGATCAGTAATAGTAAGAGTACTTCGTCCGTCTGTAAGAGAATCTGCTGTTCCTCTTGAAGGGGAAGATTTGGAACCCCCAAAACCAATATTTTCATTGGACGCCGCTGACGCAAATGCAATTGAGGTTAGTTGGGACAGCATTAATCATAACTTTTTTCCTCACAGTTTGCACGTGTAAAAAAAAGTCAGGGTATTGAATAAAATTTATTTTTTCCTAAGCTGAGGATAATTATTTCATTGTTTTGATTTTTGCTTGCATTGCTTGTATGTTTGGCTATTGCTTAAAATTCGTTTCTCAAAGTTTGTTTTTCGATTGTATATTGCTCCATTATGAAGTAGATGTTATCTTAATATTCAATATTTTTGTTGAATTCCTGGAATTTTAAATTATTCAAATTATTATAAATTATTTTATTGTATTTGTAATTTCAGGAAGTTAATTTGGCATATGAAAATGTGAAGGAAGTTGATTGCTTAGATATTTCCAAAGAAGGTCAAGATGCTTGGGACGCAGCGGTCCAGAGGTATGAGGAGCGCATAGATAGGGTCGAAGCCAGAATCACCGCTCATTTGCGTGATCAATTGGGAACTGCGAAAAATGCAAATGAAATGTTCAGAATATTTTCCCGTTTTAACGCTTTGTTTGTTAGACCTCACATTCGTGGAGCTATTAGAGAATATCAAACTCATTTGATACAAAGAGTTAAAGACGATATTGAAGCACTACACGAGAAGTTTAAGGTGAATAATTGTCGCTAATCGCCATTCCAATGTGCCTTCATTGAAATTTTGTTCAGGTTCAATATCCGCAAAGCAACAATTACAAAATAAGTAAAGATCGAGATTTACCACCCGTAGCGGGATCAATTATTTGGGCTAAACAAATTGATCACCAACTGACAACATATTTGAGGAGAGTTGAAGACGTTTTAGGTGAGGTTCGAAAAAGCGCAAGTATTTTAAAGACTGGTTTTATTTTCATACAAAATTTGTATAAAATAACTTCCTTTTTTTAAGTCACCCTATATATTTCTGCTTTTTAACCAGATTTCAAAAATATATAATTATCGATATTTGGTTTAGCCGTTTTTGAAATAATTCGAGTTTATTATTCAAAAATAGAATTTAATGATCCACGTCATTTTTGCCTTTTTAAAAATTAACCAAAATATTTTTGATGACATTAATTATAATTTCCTGAAACACTATTTATAATATGAGTTAATCTTAGGGTTTTGGAATTGACAGGTCAAATTTTTTCGTGTCAATTGACCAAAATAACTAAAAATACCATGAAATTTATATTTATTTATATTGTGTCTTACCTCACCCTGGCATGCTTCAGGGAATTCCCCGAATTGCTTAGTATCCTATTCAGGTATTCCTTGAAGAGGTTTTTAGGTAAATTGGACATCACAAATGCATAATAATTTATTATAAATTACATATTATTATTAAATAATGGTAGATAACACTCTACAATTGCAAGATGTTATTTAAAACATTTTTTGATTAGTCAACTAGGCAGTGGTCAATCGGGCGGTCATTTAAGAAGTGGTCAATTGACCAATCCCAACACTAGTTATTCAGAAGAAAAGTATTAAGAGATAACCAAGAACTGTGGTTGGAAATCGGGAGGAAGAATTAAACACCCTGCTTTATTATGAAAGTAAATTTTATTTTAAAAGTGACAGAACAAAAAAAAGGTTGGCGTTAGTTTTCTAAAAAATCCCGAGACATAAATGCCAGATTCTGCAAATTATATAAATAGATGATGATAGATACTCCAAAAAACACCATTTCCACCGCTACAGTACAAATTTTAGCCGCCGCTCATAAGAGTCAGCAACGTCAATATTGGCAAGAAATGATTGGAAATCTTCCAAATGACAGACATTTTTCGAATAAAATTGTTGTTACTGATGAAGCGAACTTTACTGCAGAGCAAAATGAAAATTCTTGCCAAACAAGAGGTAAAAATACAAGGGCTTGGGTCTTTTCATGTTTGGAGCCGCAAATTGGCTGATAGAGTTATTTGAGGTGTTGGACCACTGTCTGTCTTTTCGACGGGGTTTAATGGATAACAGGCACTACCTATTCAGCAATACAGCAGTATCAAAATCGGGTTAAAAACAACTTTCATCTTAAATAGAATTGTACAGGGTGTTCTATTTAAAAATTGAAGTTGCTAATTTCTTATTTATTTGCGGCGCTCGTTGAAAACTAATTTGTATGACAATCAGCTCATCAAATATTATTTTTCACCTGCTTTCTACATTTTAAAGATTAAATAGTGAATCCTGATTAAAATGTTATTATTGGTAATGAATAATGAATTTAAAGCGTAAATTTTGGTATTGCATCGAACTAACTTTAATGTTTATTTATACTTCTGAAAAAAAAAGGAACCGATAAATAACTACGCTATTGTTCAGTGTTTTATGTCATGTTTAAAGAAAAAATACAATATTAGGAAAAGAGAGGTCCTCTATGACTTATTTTAATATGAATCTTTAGAAAGTTAAATTTAACGAAAAATGTGTAAAGTTTAATTGTTTGTAGGCAAGGGCTGGGAGAATCATATAGAAGGTCAAAAGCTTAAAGCAGATGGTGATAGTTTTCGGCTGAAACTTAATACACAGGAGATCTTTGATGACTGGGCCCGTTCTGTACAGCAACGAAATCTCGGAGTGTCTGGGAGAATTTTTGAAATTGAATCTGTTAGGGCAAAAAATGGTAGAGGCAGCATTCTTAAATTAAAAGTGAACTTTTTACCAGAAATCATAACATTAGCAAAGGAGGTTAGAAATTTGAAGTGCCTTGGATTTAGGGTGCCCCTAGCGATTGTCAATAAGGCACATTTAGCAAATCAGCTATATCCCTTTGCCATATCATTGATCGAGAGCATTAGGACCTATGAAATGACTCTAAAAAAGGTAAGCGGCATACTGTATTATTGTCTTTCAAACAAGCTTAATCTTTGTGATTGGAAACACAAGTCATTGGAATTATATGAAAAATTGACCTATATTTCATCCATAAATCTATCCTTTCATAAATCAGTAGTAATTGACTAAAGTTCCTTATAAATGAAGAGTATTATTATCATTTTCAATTACGAATTGATCAATGTTTACAAAGATGATGTGTTATATTCATTTTAAATATTTGGTTGAAAGATAAAGGCAATTGATAACTTGAGCTTGCGTTTATTTAGGACGTTTCAAACGTTCTCTTCTCATTTTTCCCCCTGTTCAGAAAATCGAAATTTCGTAATTTATTGGTGAGAGCGGTTGAAATTGCCCCCAATAATTTGGTCAGTGATTCATTGTGGATAATAATTTACGCAGTACTTCTGATAAACAATTAAAATAAATTTGGTCCTAGTTAACGTTTTTTCTCCTTTTATTATGTTAAATCGTAAATTTCGTAAATTAAAACATTAGTAACTTGGTGTATACAATAACGACCGGGTAGAGGAATTTACAGGGCAGAAACTTTAGGCATAGTTAAGGATTATTAAGAATTACGGATAAATTTTTGGAGCATTTGTAGCTTATGAATTTTATTTGGAACCATATAAATTTTATAAACTCAAAGACATTTTTAATGCAGGAACTCAACAAATTAAGTAAATAAAAGGTTTTCCACATGCCACGCGGTTAATAGATCGAAGCGTACAGTATGAAGGAATTTCAGTTGAGTTCCAAAAAATGTAAGCATTAAAATGCATTTTTAGTTTAGATATATGTTTATTACTAGTGGGATTTTGATTGTTTTAAAAAGAAAAAAAAAAAGATACTACACTGATTTCTTTAAAATATAAAGATTTTCGAAATTTGATCTCTTCCTTCTTTTCCATATGCCTGATCGGTTTAGCATAAAAAATGATATTGCTGTTTTGTTGGTAAAATTAATTTTTATTCTCAGTACTCTAAAATATGCTATTTTGCACAGACCAAGCGTGCAGAAAGTGTCACTTTAAGATGTCCTGTTGTCGGTAAATCTTAGCCATAGTATTTTGACGTTTATCAGTTGTGGTGTTCATATTAAATAACCAATTATGCATTCGTTAAATATTGTCGCGAGCCAATTGAGCGTGTCCTGACATGGTCTCAACGATCGTTAGAAATTTTCTATATCATTAAAAATCTTTGATCAGTAGGTGAGGCCGATTTTTGCTGTAGGTCTGTAAAGAATCTTAAAATGCTTAGGATCTAGCCATATTCCGACCAACCACAAAAATAATCGAAGAAACAATGAAAACAGTGATTGCTAAACATTTTAAGATACACAAATTGCAACAGTCGTTGAGTTCAAAGCAAATTGATTCTTAAAAAAGCCAATTAATTTGATTACCACTACCACTATTAGGTCATTTTCCATTCTTTAAACATAGAAATAATACAATGCCATACAAAGTCTGTCAGCGCTTCTTTATTTCGGGATTCGGACGAGTATTATTTGGTGTTCTACAATTTTATTGTTATTAAAAGACGTCTATAAATCTATATATCTATAAATAATACTTATTTGTAGTTGATTTCAAAAACCACAGGAATCAAAAAATATAATTTTTACAATACTAATCAACTAAAAATGGTATGTATTGTAAGAGCTTTCGAAATGAACGATTCCGTTGTTCTACACCAATTACTTTGTATCAACTTAGAAAGTTCGTAATAAATGCGCTAAAAAACAATCACTATTTTCACCATTAAATTCCCAATATGTGTTATGAAAATAAATACAGCTCATTAGTTCTCGAAATTGTTATTTCTCTATGACTCAAGCAGTTTTTGAAATATCGACATGAAAACTTGGATTCGGCGGTTTTTAGATTTTATTTTATTTATTATTTATTTTACGATTACAGTCTGGTTTTTCACACCATATATAGACGGCTTTAATTAAACTCTCTAATTCCATGCCATCTCAGTTTGCGAAAGAGTAACGATTTCCCTTAGTTTGATTTTTCACTAAATTTTATTCAGATTTTGATTTGGGCATATACGATGTGCACAAATAAACATTATTATTATTATTGTCCATAATTCATTAAGCCTATGGCATAATAATTACTTGAAGTTATTTTTTATTCCGTTTTAAAATAACGGTAAAATATAATTTATGTAGATTGTAAATATCCACGATAATTTCAATATGAATTTGCTCTTTTCTAATCCATAGTTTAATTATTCTTAATGAACCTTTTTTTGAAGCTCCGATTTACGTGAAACAAAATATTATATTACCAGTATCTTGACAACTGTATTTTATCGAAAGAAATGTAGTATAACTTTTGTGCTTAGAAATGATGAAATGAATAATGACAAATAATAAAAATTTATATGCCCAGCCCAAATTCTGGAAATTCCACTTTGGATTCCTTTTTGGCAAATTCACTGTTTACTATTTATACTGAATTTTGTATTGTTATTTACTCATATTAAATTGTAGGTGCCTAAACAAACTTTGATTTTGATGATAATTAATGATAATCACATATTACGCTTACATATTTTTTGTTTCTTATTATTAATTTGTTTTAATACTTAAACCAAAAGGAAATACTTTAAAAAAAAATATTTGCCCCTCGATTCCTATGTCCAGTCGTTATTGAGGTGTACCCACCATCCTATCAATGTCTTAATTTGAAAAAACTTCGGTAATTTAACCGTCTCGGTAATTTATACCGAAACGTTTTTTTTTTTTTAATAAGGAACTTCTTAACTGAAACTAATCAAAACCTTTTGACCAAAACTGTAGATCTTTAAGATATTCGCATTCTCCAGATTTTTATTAGTTGCAGTTATATTAAATTATATTAATAATTAGCTCACTCTAAGGAGTCATCCCCAATCTGGCAGTGTTAAGGTAGATTAGGCATGTTGATTCATGCATGCTGTCATCTTTTAACATGGCTCTCTAACGAATGTCAAGTGTATTCAATGAAATATTGAAATCTGTTGGATGTTTTCCCCCTTAATGTTGTTTAATGAAACGCACCAGTCTGCCTGTTTGGACAATCTAAGCTTGTTTAATATCAAAGAAAAAATTATAGTCTGCATGGATCTTGTCTAGGTAAAACCGGTTTCCCAATTATCCCAGTTTTGTACTTTTTCAAAGCAACTTCCACAGGCTACAGTAATACTATTTACAAATCTTCTGGATTCGTTTCGCCAATCATCCTTTTGTCTTCTTTTAAGCTTAACCGTAACATTCTACGATGTACCTGCTTATATATTGTTTGAGGGAGGCGCAGCTAAATGAGGGGCATAAATATTGTTTCGCATTGTTTGGTTGTTTATAGATTTCTATAGATTCTCGGATGTTTTGTTGGTAGAAGAAGTGATTCGGCAACTGCTGATGAGTTTATTTGTCTTAGCCTTAAGGCTCTTTCATGTTCTTTGACCCTAGTTGATATTTTTTGTCCGGTTTATCCAATGTATTCTTTGCCGCATATGCATGAAATGCTGTAAACTCCTGGTATCTCAAACGGAATTTTGCCTTTGACGGATTGAAGATGTTGAGAGATTTTTAGACATGTGTTAAATTTGGTTTTGACGTTATATTTCTTAAGAACTTTTGATATGCGACCAGTGATGTATTGAATATAAGGAAGAAGACAACAGTGGCAAGGGCAGGGTTGTTTTCAGTGTTTTCTGGGTCACTGAACCCGAGTCACTGGACTCGGGTTGACATCGTTTTACGGCTCTCTAAACAAGAGAGTTGATAAGCGATAATTTTTGGTCGAGATGGTCATGTGCCAATTCACAAAGGTATCGGTTTCTGTGTTATTAGTTTTCATGATAAAACGTATGCTTAGGTATACAGAGTTTAAATGGCTAAGAAGATCTCAGAGGATTCTTGACCCTGATACAAAAGTATCATCAACTTAGCGTTTCCATAATTTTCGTTTGGTTTGGTTGTTCATGCCCCTCCTTTAGCTCCGCCCCTTAAACAATATACGAGCAGATACAGAGTAGAATGCAAGGGACTTTCAGTTCTGAAGAAGCCAACAGGATGATTGGCGAAACGTCATTCATCAACAACCGACGCAGGAGGAATCCAGACGATTTGTAAATAGTAAGTTTTGTACTATTCTTCAGCATTTTCATATAGGAAACTTCTGTTTTAAGTTTCCTGTAGTTATTCTTTTTTTTATTGTATAAAAATTTTATTCATGCAAATGTCCAAGTTATGAGAATTTATTAGTTATTTCTTTGATAATTCAAAGGAATACAAAAATTACTGTCGGTAGGTATTATTAAGTTATCTTATTGGAAAAAATATCCAATTGTATTTTAGTAAGGTGATCTGCCTTAAGATCTATGTTAATAGATACTGCTCTACTGCTCTCTAAGTAATATGCTATAAGGTGCTCGAAAAGATATGTCTTTTCAAACACACTGTATATCGAGTGTTGTTCAAGTAATGACCTCATTTAAAACGACAATTTAAATGTTTAAATAAAGTCAGGTGCATGGTCCTTTTTAAAATTGGTTTTTTGTTAATATCTTGACAACTTGTAAAAATTTGAGTCCTAACTAGATTAAAATTATTACGAACGACGGTAAAAAAAATGTCATAAACTTTTTTGCAATTTTTGCCCTCTTTCTTATATTGGGTTTTTAACGAAATAATATAAAAATAGGACTAATCTATTACAGGTTTCAACTTGTACATTGTTATTCCTTTTGTAGCATTCGTTATGTTACCTATATAATTGTGTTAAACTGTTCAGTACGTTGCTTATATTTACCATTGGGTTGTCCTTTTGTTAGTTGCTGATTAGTGGGATTTGCTAATCTTTTTTTTTTCAAATTAATTTTCTTTAATAATGTATTTAATGTAAATATCAAAATTTCGTTAAAAAATGGAGAGCTACTTTAAATTCAAACTCTGAATGACTGCATGCTCTTTGGATGCTGCGTAAAAGCATTGTTTAATTATACAGTTAAAGCAAGCTTAATATGAAAATGTCTGACAAATTGTATACAATATAACGTATATAATGTATGGCTTTTTGTAAAAACTTGTAGAGAGTTTAAAGAAATATTGCATGGAAAAAAGTTGTTGTAAACATGAACGTTTTTCCAACTTCTAATACAAGTTTTGGTTTCATTAGATAGAAGATAAAGCGAGCATCATCCCTCTAGTGGCTGGTATGAGAATAGATGTGCTTAACCTGATAGAAGAAGGTGCTCAATTTGTATGGGAGAGTTACAAGTTAGCACCTTATGTTCAGAAATTTTCCGAAACCATTGTTAGTTTCCAAGAAAGAGTGGAAGAGCTGGTTATTATAGGCGAACAGTTAGAGGCGGATGTGAGATCACTGGAGACTTGTCCTTACTCGGCAAACATATTTGCAGATATTTTATCAAAGATTCAACATGCTGTCGATGATTTATCGTTGAAACAGTATTCAAATTTGCATATTTGGGTAAATCGGCTAGATGAAGAGGTAGAAATTTTTCGTTTTCCAATATTTACTGTATAAAGTGCGCCTTCTGCTCCAGGTTGAAAAAAATCTAGCCCGACGCTTACAAGCAGGTATAGAGGCATGGACCGATGCACTTGCCGGTACTAAAAAGGATGTAGATCACAGTATGGACACTGATGCCCCAACGCAGCCAACTCACAAGCCTGGTGGAGATCCCCATATTCAAACTATGGTACATGAAGTTCGTATCACAAATCAAACCATGTATTTGTATCCTAGCATTGAAGAAGCGAGATTCCAAATAATGCAGCAGATGTTTGCCTGGCAAGCCATTGTTACCTCTCAGCAAAGGTTACAAAGCAGCAGGTAATGGATGTTGAAATTGTTTAATGAAAATACATACATAAAACGGTACATATTCTACATTTTTATTCTTTCAAGGAAATTGCCATCATTAGTATTCTGTTGTTTTGTTCTATTCTGAACTGTTTTGATTTGTTTTGTGTACACAATTATTCGTAAAACAAACAATGTGGTTATGAAAATTTTAGATATCAAGTTGGAATTGATAAACCTCTCACAGAAACTTATAGAAACATTTTGACAAAACTACCGGGCGGTCCGCAGCCGTTAAACAACGCCTACAATGCTATATCTAGCAAAATTAAAGAAGTGAGTCTTTTCAAAAAGATGCTGGCACGATATGAATATTGTTAACATTTTTGCAGGTACAAAAATATGTTAATCAGTGGCTTACGTATCAGTCACTTTGGGATCTTCAAGCAGATAATCTGTATGGGCAACTTGGTGATGATATTAACAAATGGATGAGATGCCTCAATGATATAAAGTAAGTGTTTGAAATAGTTATTTATTCATGATTAAAATTGCGCTGGTGAGAAAAATAATGTGTTATCAAAGTCATTAAAAAAGGTTATTAGATCTCCAACTTAGCTGAAGGTTATTTATTACTACATTTCCACTCATGATAATATCTAGGCTTTTTCTACATGAGTTGTGGTTCTTTTAGAACTACAAGAGCAACTTTTGATACATCAGATACACGTCGGGAATTTGGACCGATAGTAATAGACTTTGCAAAGGTGCAAAGTAAAGTATCTCTCAAGTATGACTCCTGGCATAAGGAAACTTTGAGCAAATTTGGTGCTCTTCTTAGTAATGAAATGGCTACATTTCACTCTACTGTTTCAAAGTCAAGATCTGATCTTGAGCTGCAAAGTATTGAAGCTGCCAGTACTTCAGACGCCGTTACATTTATTACCTACGTCCAACAGCTGAAGAGAAGCATGAAACAATGGGAAAAACAGGTAACTAAAGTAACGATCAAACCGTGTTGTTTGAAAAAAGGTGCGCAGAATTTAGATTATTTAAGGAATGGTTTCTGTAGGTTGAAATATATAGGGAAGGTCAAAGGATTTTGGAACGTCAGAGATTCCAGTTTCCTTCAAACTGGCTTCATGTTGAAAATCTTGAAGGCGAGTGGGGGGCATTCAATGAAATCATTAAGCGCAAAGATTCATCTATACAGACTCAAGTATCTAGTTTGCAACAAAAAATTGTGTCTGAAGATAAAGCTGTCGAAAGCCGCACCCACGACTTTTTGACAGATTGGGAAAAAAGCAAGCCTGTTGAGGGACATCTAAGGTATGAGTTTATTTTCTATTAACCAAATGTATTATTTAAATTAAAGAGAAGCATTCTTTTAATAATTTGAACAAAATTTGGTATTTCATTTAAGTTAAGTTGATGGTTTCTAAATAAGATAGAATTTAACATAATATGAATTTTTATAGACCTGAAGATGCCTTATCCCAACTTCAACTTTTTGAAAGCAAGTATGCTAGATTAAAAGAGGAACGTGACAACGTAGCTAAAGCCAAAGAAGCTTTAGAACTTCAAGAGCCAGGTGGAATGGGTACAAGCGAAGATCGTATGCAAGTAGTGTATGAGGAGTTGCAAGACTTACGAGGAGTTTGGTCGGAACTATCAAAGATATGGCAGCAGATCGATGAGACGAGAGAGAAGCCATGGTATGACATATTTTATTTTAGTGACTGGTTTTTATCTTTCTCTATTTAAACAGGTTATCTGTGCAACCGCGAAAGCTACGACAGCAATTAGATATAATGTCCACACAATTAAAAGAGTTGCCAGCAAGATTACGTCAATATGCGTCTTACGATTTTGTCAAAAAAACTTTGCAAAGCTATACTAAAGTCAACATGCTTATTGTCGAATTAAAGTCTGATGCCCTCAAAGAACGGCATTGGAAACAACTGATGAAACAATTGAGAGTAAATTGGGTATTAAGCGACTTAACATTGGGGCAAGTTTGGGATGTCAACTTGCAGAAGAACGAATCTGTTGTGAAAGATATAATTTTAATTGCCCAAGGAGAAATGGCTCTGGAAGAATTTTTGAAGCAAGTGAGGGAATCTTGGCAAACTTATGAACTAGATCTGATTAATTATCAAAATAAGTGCAAGATAATTAGAGGATGGGATGACCTGTTCAACAAGGTAAGAGAATTTGGATGTGGATTTAAATACAGTTTAACTCAAATTAATTGAAACTAAAATGATGGTTTTTTGTAGGTAAAAGAGCACATCAATTCAGTGGCTGCAATGAAACTGTCTCCATATTACAAAGTGTTTGAGGAAGAGGCACTCACCTGGGAAGAAAAACTGAACAGAATTAATGCTCTCTTTGATGTATGGATTGATGTGCAGAGGAGATGGGTGTATTTAGAAGGTTGGTTCTTAATAAAAACATTCCTTGTTTTTTGACATTTTCTGAAATTGCCTTATATTTTAAGGAATTTTCTCGGGCAGTGCAGATATTAAAACCTTACTCCCTGTGGAAACATCTCGTTTTCAGAGCATTAGCTCAGAATTTCTTGGGCTCATGAAAAAAGTCAGCAAATCACCAATGGTAATGGATGTGCTTAACATCCCGGGTGTTCAAAGGGCTTTGGAACGTCTGGCTGATCTTTTGGGAAAAATACAAAAAGCGCTTGGTGAATATTTAGAGAGGGAACGTACATCATTCCCAAGATTCTATTTTGTTGGCGATGAAGATTTATTGGAAATTATTGGTAACAGTAAAAATGTTGCCAGGTTGCAAAAACATTTTAAAAAGATGTTTGCTGGAGTAGCGTCCATAATTTTAAATGAAGATAACACAGTTATAACAGGCATTGCGTCCAGAGAGGGAGAAGAAGTAAGTTAGTTACATTGAAGCATTTTTTTTAGTAACTGGTAGTAATCGCGTTATCGTTTTGAATGTCGCTGCTTTCTACATTGTTGGTATGGCATTTGAACTAAGCCATTGCTGAGGACAGTATTTTTCAGGTCACTTTTAGAACCCCAGTTTCAACAATTGAGCATCCAAAAATCAATGAATGGCTGACTTTAGTAGAAAAGGAAATGAGAGTAACTTTGGCGTCTAGTTTAACTCAAGCTGTTCAGGATATTAAGCAATTTAATGACGGTATTGATCCCAAACTGTTTATGGAATGGTGCGACAAATATCAGGCTCAGATTGTTGTCCTTGCAGCACAAATATTTTGGAGTGAAGATGTTGAATCAGCTTTAATAAAAGTGAGTTAATTTTTGTTAATTTTTGATCAGTTTTAGTTTTAAACCATATCAATATTTACATTACTTTACATGGTATTCAAATTTGACAGGAAAAACAACTCCAGGTATAACAATCTAAATTTTAGGTTATTGTCTGCGTCTGTCAGGCGTTAAATGTTTGACTCCATAATAGTATAATTGAGTATATGCTTAACAACAACACTGTCAAACACTTAACGCTTTCTGTCATTTTCTCAGCTTTTTTTGGTTGTTACTTTTTCAATTATGTATTAGAAGTACCTTTGTAGTTGCAACAATCCAAAATATTAAATAAAATAAGTGAAGGGCATATTTCACATATAAAAACTGATACCTGATACATTGATATGACTTGAAACGGAGTATTTTTAAGTTAATAAAATAAAAAGTTGTTAGTGAAATGCTGTTCACACTTCACTTTGCCTATTAGATGAATGGGGAATCACAGAAAGAGCCATTAGAAAAGGTTCTGCAACAAGTTGAGAATACTTTAAATGTATTGGCTGATTCAGTACTCCAAGAGCAGCCTCAACTTCGTAGAAAAAAACTTGAACATTTAATTAACGAATTTGTTCATAAGAGAACCATCACCAGAAGAATGATTTCAAACGGGGTCTCCAGCAATAAAGCCTTCGAATGGCTGTGTCAAATGAGGTAAATTAATTTTTTTTTTTTGCTATGGCATTAATTTTTTTCTTACTAGATTTTACTTTGATCCTCGACAAACAGAAGTTTTAAAGCAATTGACAATTCATATGGCTAACGCGAGATTTTACTATGGATTTGAATATTTAGGCGTTCAAGATCGGCTTGTGCAAACTCCACTCACTGACAGATGTTATTTGACTATGACTCAAGCTCTTGAAGCTAGATTGGGTGGCTCTCCATTTGGTAATATACTCTTAGTCTAGTGGAGATTATGTTACTAAGTAATTCAAAAATTATAGGTCCTGCTGGTACTGGTAAAACCGAATCAGTAAAAGCTCTTGGAAATCAATTAGGAAGATTTGTATTGGTCTTTAACTGTGATGAAACATTCGATTTTCAAGCTATGGGAAGAATATTTGTCGGTTTGTGCCAGGTTGGTGCTTGGGGTTGCTTTGATGAGTTTAATCGACTGGAAGAGAGAATGTTGTCAGCAGTGTCCCAACAAATTCAAACTATTCAAGAGGCTCTCAAAAGTCAGAAAGAGTCAACGGAGAGTTCACAAAGTGGAAGTAAGTATTCTTAACAAATATTGAGCTTTTCAATTATAAATTACAATTTTAATATATTATAACTTTAATTTTGTTTTCCAGGTATAACTGTTGAATTAGTAGGAAAACAAGTACGTGTTTCTCCTGATATGGCAATCTTCATCACAATGAATCCCGGCTATGCAGGCAGGTCCAATTTGCCTGATAATTTAAAAAAACTCTTCAGATCTTTAGCTATGACAACTCCAGATAGGCAACTTATAGCAGAAGTTATGCTCTTTTCGCAAGGCTTTAGAACAGCAGAAAAATTGGCTTGCAAAATTGTTCCTTTCTTCAAGTAAGTGCTTGTTAATAAATTATTTCTGTAAGTACTGGTTATATAGAGGCTTCACTTATTCTGTTAAAGTTGAGGAGGCTTATTCAATATACACATTCATTTTCATCATTTTCAATCATTTGAGATTAACATAAATTTCAGATTATGTGACGAACAACTTTCTAATCAATCCCATTATGATTTTGGACTGCGAGCCCTCAAATCTGTTTTAATTTCTGCCGGAAATGTCAAACGAGATAGGATTCAGAAAATCAAGGAAGGAATGAAGCAGCGAGGAGAAACAAATATAGATGAGGCCAGTATTGCTGAAAACCTTCCCGAGCAAGAAATTCTGATCCAATCTGTCTGCGAAACAATGGTGCCTAAACTGGTAGCAGAAGATATTCCTTTATTATTTAGTTTGTTGAATGATGTATTTCCCAATGTACAGTACACAAGGGCAGAAATGAAAGGTAGGAAACCATTTTTGCTTATTAAATGTGGTCCTTTTACATTTTTACCCATAAAATGTAAATCTGCCATGGTCTACTGTAGTGATAGAGCAAGTTATGTTTTAATCAACCTGTCACAAGGCCACAACTTTGAATTTTTTTCATATGTTATTTGACGGTGTTGACTGTGTGTATTACATTTTTAATTTTACAAGTTTCTTTTTAAAAAACGCTATTAAATATTAAAATAATAATAATAAAGTTAATTCACATTTGAGGCTTATAAGAAGTGAAAGTGATATGGCCAAATTACAGTTTGTAAAGTGTTTAAACAAATTATCAAAGAAGTAGAATTCGGCTTATTTATGATACAATTTTGAAATTTTACTGTCACATTCAGAAGTATAAAATGATAAACTGATAACTGTTTATTTTTAACAGGATTAAAGGATGAAATTCGAAAAGTATGTGCTGAAGAATACTTAGTGTGTGGAGAAGGAGATGAGCAAGGATCTGCTTGGATGGAAAAGGTAATATTACAGTGCAGTAACTAGAACTTCCAGAGAAAGTGTGTCACTGAATCCTTCATTTTTTATTCACAGATAACTTTGAAAAACAATATACCAATGAATTCCTTTCTGCTATAAGTTCGCTAACCTGCATATTTTTGAAATGAAATTTTAATTTTTTTTTTTTAATTTGAAATTTTTGTTACATGCCGCTTAGAGAGATACATGGGTTGCTAAGGTATAATATTCACTTACTTTACAAGTGTGACGTGTGAATTATAAATTTGAATAACAAAAAAATGTTTCTTATAGGTTTTGCAGCTGTATCAAATCTCTAGTTTAAATCATGGTCTCATGATGGTTGGCCCCAGCGGCTCTGGAAAAAGCACTGCTTGGAGAGTGTTACTTAAGGCGCTTGAACGTTTTGAAGGAGTAGAAGGAGTAGCTCACGTCATTGATCCTAAAGCAATAAGTAAGGAAGCTTTGTATGGTGTATTAGATCCAAATACCAGGGAATGGACCGACGGTTTATTCACTCATATACTAAGGTAGCTACTGTTTCAATTCACAGGTTGAGTTTTAATCATTGTGGTTTTAGAAAAATTATTGACAATGTCCGAGGAGAAATAAATAAACGCCAGTGGATCATATTTGATGGTGATGTTGATCCTGAATGGGTTGAAAATTTAAATTCGGTTTTAGACGACAATAAACTGCTCACCTTACCAAACGGTGAACGTCTATCTCTTCCACCTAATGTCCGAGTGATGTTTGAAGTGGGCATTGTCATGATGATACTTAGATTGTTCTATTAAGTTGTATTTTTCTTAGGTGCAAGATTTGAAATATGCTACCCTTGCAACAGTGTCTCGTTGTGGAATGGTTTGGTTCTCTGAGGATGTTTTGTCAACAGAAATGATATTTGAGAATTATATGTTACGACTCAAGAATATACCACTAGAAGAGGGAGAAGATGATAGTTTTGGAAAGAAGGGGGAAAACAAGGAAGATCTTGTATCACCAACATTGCAAGTACAAGTCGAAATAGCTAATCTATTGCAGCCATTTTTGCAACCTGACGGCTTAGTCATTAGATGTCTGGAATATGCAATGGAGCAGGAACACATCATGGATTTTACTCGATTAAGAGCTTTGAGTTCTCTTTTTTCCATGTTAAATCAGAGCGTCAGGTATGTGATTTTTTTATTGTAGGCTCCTCATTTACTCCTTTAATTAATTACAGAAACGTTTTGCAATATAACCACGGTCACAGCGACTTTCCGTTGCCATATGAAACTTTGGAGCGCTACATTCCAAAGTGTCTAATTTATGCAATCCTTTGGAGTTTCACCGGAGATGGTAAATTAAAAGTTAGGTCAGAGTTAGGTGATTTTATCAGGTCTATTACAACTGTGCCTTTGCCACCTGATAACACTATGCCCATTATCGATTATGAAGTCACCTTACAAGGAGAATGGTCTCCTTGGTCCAATAAGGTCCCACAAATTGAAGTTGAAACACATAAAGTTGCATCGCCGGATATTGTCGTACCGACTTTGGATACTGTCAGACATGAATCCTTGTTATATACCTGGCTAGCTGAACACAAACCTTTGGGTGAGTTGACAATGTTTTTTTTAGACTACCTAGTATGGAGTTCTTTTGAGTGGCGTTATATTTAATGAACATAGAGAAAATAAACTTGTTTTACACTATGCTCTAGTAACAATAATTCATTGGACCGTGGTAAGAGGGAAAGAATTATATACAGGATAATTTGTTGCATTATTTAACAAAAAAATTTATAATTTACCAAAACCAAAAAATTTTAATATATGCTTCATTTAAGTGGCTTTATATTTAATGACCATAGGGAAAATATACCTTTTTTACACTATACTCTAGTAACAAAAATAATATTATGATCTTTGTTGACAGTTTTATGTGGTCCTCCCGGTTCTGGTAAAACCATGACACTTTTCTCGGCTTTAAGAGCTCTACCTGACATGGAAGTTGTTGGTTTGAATTTCTCCTCAGCAACAACACCGGAACTTCTTTTAAAGACTTTCGATCATTACTGTGAATACAGAAAAACACCAAATGGAGTAATATTGTCTCCTGTACAGGCAAGTAATTGTTTTAAGCGACCGTTTGCTGTTTCGAGGTGCAAAATTGAATGTCATTGTTTTGTTCTAGCTTGGGAAGTGGTTGGTGCTTTTCTGTGATGAAATTAATTTGCCTGATATGGATCATTATGGTACACAACGGGTGATTATGTTCCTTCGTCAAATTGTTGAACAAAAAGGATTTTATCGGGCGTCCGATCAGACATGGGTTTCCTTGGAGCGAATTCAATTTGTGGGCGCCTGTAATCCACCAACCGATCCTGGTAGAAAGCCGCTATCTCACAGGTTAGTAGGAAATTTTGAAAAAAAAAATCATGTTAAAAACAATGACACTTACCGTTGTATGTGTGTAATTTTCTTTATCGCTGGAATTATTTAAATAATTTATTTTAAGATTCTTGCGGCATGTTCCCGTTATTTATGTTGATTATCCCGGGGAGACTTCTCTGAAACAAATCTATGGAACCTTTACAAGAGCAATGCTTCGACTTACACCAGGACTGAAAGGCTATGCGGAACCTTTGACAAATGCGATGGTTGAATTTTATTTAGCTTCTCAAGATAGATTTACGCAAGATATGCAGCCTCATTATGTATATTCACCTCGTGAGATGACCAGATGGGTGAGAGGAATTTGTGAAGCTCTAAGGTATGTTTTAATTACGATGCTTTGTTGTACGCACTGTCATGTTATATGTCTTTTTAGGCCTTTAGATACTCTCTCAGTTGAGGGTTTAGTAAGACTGTGGGCTCATGAAGCTTTGAGGCTTTTCCAAGATAGATTAGTTGAAGATTCTGAGCGTCAGTGGACAAATGAACATATCGATGCTGTTGCTCTTAAACATTTCCCTTCTGCCAATTGTGAGAAAGCGCTGGAACACCCAATCTTATACAGCAACTGGTTGTCAAAAGACTATGTCCCAGTTGACAGGGAACAATTAAGAGAATATGTTAAAGCCAGACTAAAAGTTTTCTATGAAGAAGAGTTGGATGTCCCATTAGTACTGTTTGATGAAGTTTTGGATCATGTTTTAAGAATTGACAGGATATTTAGGCAACCCCAAGGTCACTTGTTACTTATAGGAGTTTCTGGTGCCGGTAAAACCACTCTGTCGCGCTTCGTTGCATGGATGAATGGCCTTTCCATATTCCAAATCAAAGTCCACAATAAATATACTGCTGAAGACTTTGATGAAGATTTGAGATCAGTATTGAGACGGGCCGGATGCAAAGACGAAAAGATCGCCTTTATTTTGGACGAGTCTAACATGTTAGACTCAAGTTTCTTGGAAAGGATGAACACTCTTTTGGCTAATGGTGAAGTACCTGGTTTATTCGAAGGAGATGAGTATACTACTCTCATGACACAGTGCAAGGAAGGAGCCCAGAGAGAAGGTAAGAAATGACATCAATTATTTTTCGTTAGCGTATTAGTTTATACCCTATATAGTAATGTAAATATGTACATTAGGATCCTCATAATTTAACATTTTCAGGTCTAATGCTTGATTCAAGTGATGAACTATACAAGTGGTTTACACAACAAGTGATGCGAAACTTGCACGTAGTATTTACTATGAATCCATCCACTGATGGTCTAAAAGATAGAGCTGCTACTTCTCCTGCTTTGTTTAATAGATGCGTTTTGAATTGGTTTGGGGATTGGTCAGATGGTGCTCTATATCAAGTAAGTTTTCGTGTGGTAGTTTACTTATGATTTCTTATGTTATTTTTTTAGGTGGGCAAAGAATTTACTAATCGTTTAGACCTCGATAAGCCAACGTGGAGGTCTCCTGATTTTTTCCCTGCAGCTTGCAAACTGGTCCCTACCGCTCCTAATCACCGGGAAGCTGTTATCAATGCTTGTGTTTATGTTCATCAGACATTGCATAAAGCCAATGTTCGATTGGCGAAAAGAGGTAGCCGAACCATGGCTATTACACCGAGACATTATTTGGACTTTATACACCACTTTGTCAAACTACATAATGAAAAGAGATCAGATTTGGAAGAACAGCAATTGCATCTCAATGTCGGTTTGAGCAAAATTGCCGAAACGGTAGAACAGGTACATCATTTTTGATTACTTTGGTTACTGCTTGCTTATTTTTAAGATTAGGAAAGTTGAATTAAGGCCCAAATTTCGAAATGATCAAAATTTTTAATAGACAATCTTTCAAAGACTTTAAAGTAGCACAATTACCAAAAATAGTATCTGACAAAGTGCAAAAAAATTTACTATACTTTGGAGCAAACCGCAAAACTTGGATGGGCACTTCAAAATATATGCACTGTGCAGTCATTTTTGTAACTGTCTGTTGTATATAGTATGCATTATTAATATTTTTGGCCGCTATTAGATACCTATCGAGATAATGCAAGCAAAATTTATGCAAATTGAGTAACTATGTCATATTTATACAGGATGCGCAAAATATGGTATTGTTATAGCCCACCAATTTGCAATGGATTTTCAGGTTGAGGAAATGCAAAAAAGTTTGGCTGTAAAATCTCAAGAGTTGCAAGCTAAAAATGAGGCTGCTAATGCAAAATTAAAGCAGATGGTTAAAGATCAACAAGAAGCGGAAAAGAAAAAAGTGCAAAGTCAAGAAATTCAACAACAACTTGCAGAACAAACTGTCCATATTGAGCAAAAACGGCAAGAGGTCATGGCGGACTTGGCGCAAGTGGAACCTGCCGTTATTGATGCGCAGAACGGTGAGTCAATTTATTTATTTTATTTTGCGTTAAATAATGAGGGAATGGGGGAAGGAAGGTGTTCAAAATGCCAATCTTTTATAGCGGTTAAATCTATCAAGAAACAACATCTGGTTGAAGTTCGTTCAATGGCCAATCCTCCCGCTACTGTTAAAATGGCTCTCGAATCAGTTTGTCTGCTTTTACATGAAAACGCGAATGATTGGCGATCTATTCGTGCCGTTATAATGCGCGAAAATTTTATTGCAACTATAGTGAACTTCACCAGTGATAATTTAACGTAAGGCTTCTCGCCTTATTTCCTTTCCGCCTGGCTGCCGGTGTGGCATGAATTTTGTTTAATTCCATACAAAAATGACACACAATCATTTTAATAATATGTACACACTTTTGCTTTGTTTAAGTTTGCTTACTGTTTTTTTCTTTTCCCTCACGTAGCCGTAAAGTCTATTAAAAAACAACAGTTGGTAGAAATCCGATCCATGTCAAATCCTCCAGCCATAGTTAAACTGGCACTTGAATCTATTTGCCTGCTGCTTGGTGAAAATGCAAGTGATTGGAAGTCTATACGTTCAGTGATCATGCGTGACAATTTTATAAATACTGTTGTCAACAATTTTAATACGGAGGATATTAGGTATGCATTTATATGTATATATTTTATCGACCTATTCTCTAGCCTCATTTTGGATTGCATCACTTTTATTTATTTTGTAAGAGTGTAGTTTTTTGTATGTGCAAACAATACCATCATAACTGACAAAACAATTTGCAAATGTTTCATTTGTAACATTAACTAACTAAATAAAAATTATTTTAATTTTTCTTTCGCGCATAGTACAACTAGAGAACAAATTCTCGGTAATTATCAATAAAGCAAATTGTTCAAAATGTCGATCATAATTATAGTATATAGTCAGTTATGTTTGATTATTCGATTTATTATTTTCAGTTTTTTTATAATTACCATAAGATGAATGCAATAGTTTGCCCAAACATTTGGCGTTCTTATTTTTTTCAAATTATTTGCTGAATAGAGAAAACAATCGCATTTCAATATTAGTGGCGCCGTATTGAAAAACAAAACAAAACTTTATTTGTTTTTTTTTTATTTCAACTACAGCACCAGCAAGTTATTTTTTCTTCTTTTTCGATTTATTACTAATAAAATGTACGTGCTAGCTGCAATCTGTGTGTGTATTAGTTTTGAGACCTCCTATATATGGCTGAAGCTGGCTAATGGCTAATGACATTTCAGTGACGAGGTACGTGATAAAATGAAGTCTCGTTACTTAAGCAATCCTGATTATAACTTTGAAAAAGTTAATCACGCTAGTAATGCTTGTGGACCTTTGGTTAAGTGGGCAATGGCGCAAATCCAGTATGCGGATATGTTAAAGAAGGTGGAGCCTTTAAGGCAGGAGCTCAGTTCCCTAGAAAACCAAGCAGGTACAAACAAGCAACATGGCGAAGAAATCAAGAACTTGATCAGTCAGTTGGAGCAGAGCATTGCTTCATATAAGGAAGAATATGCACAACTTATCGCTCAAGCTCAAGCAATTAAAACAGATTTAGAAAATGTTCAAGCTAAGGTCGATAGGTCCATCGCTTTGCTAAAATCCTTGGTTATTGAGAGAGAGAGATGGGAAGCGACTAGTGAAACATTTAGATCTCAGATGTCGACAATTATTGGCGATGTGCTGTTATCTGCTGCGTTTATTGCCTACGGAGGTTATTTCGACCAGCATTATCGGCAGAACCTCTTCACGACGTGGTGTCAGCATTTGACTTTGGCTACAATTCAATATCGGTCCGATATTGCGAGAACAGAATATTTGTCTAACCCTGATGAACGGTTGAGATGGCAAGCGAATGCTTTACCTACAGATGACTTGTGCACTGAAAATGCTATCATGTTGAAACGGTTCAATAGATATCCATTAATTATAGATCCGTCTGGCCAAGCTACAGAGTTTATTATGAACGAATATAAAGACAGAAAGATTACGAAAACCAGTTTCCTGGACGATTCATTCCGGAAGAATTTGGAGTCGGCATTAAGGTTTGGTAATCCACTTTTAGTGCAAGATGTGGAAAACTATGATGCCATATTAAATCCCGTTCTTAATAAGGAACTTAGGCGGACTGGTGGACGCGTTCTGATTACCCTTGGAGATCAAGATATCGACTTGTCACCATCGTTTATAATATTCTTATCCACGCGGGATCCTACGGTTGAATTTCCACCAGATATTTGTTCGAGAGTAACTTTTGTGAATTTTACTGTTACCAGAAGCTCACTGCAAAGTCAATGTTTGAACCAAGTACTGAAAGCCGAAAGACCAGACATAGATGCAAAACGGTCCGATTTACTCAAGTTGCAAGGGGAATTCCACTTGAGGTTGAGGCAATTAGAAAAATCACTGCTACAAGCTTTAAACGATGCAAAAGGGAAAATATTGGATGATGATAGTGTTATTACCACTTTGGAAACGTTAAAGAAAGAAGCTGCAGAAATAGGACAAAAAGTTGAAGAAACCGATAAAGTTATATCAGAAATAGAAACTGTTTCACAGCAGTATTTGCCCCTGTCGCAAGCTTGCAGCAACATTTACTTTACTATGGATACTTTAAATCAGATACACTTCTTGTATCAGTACTCGCTGCAATTTTTCTTAGATATGTTCAACAGCGTGTTGCTGAGCAATCCTAAATTGGACGGTATTACAGATTATCAGCAAAGATTAAATATTATAACAAAAGATCTGTTCCAAGTGGTCTATGAAAGAATTGCCAGAGGCATGTTGCATAATGATAGATTAACATTTGCTATACTATTAGCCAGGATTTACTTAAAGGGTGTACCAAATGAGCCCAATTTAGATCAAGAGTTCAACTTTTTCTTACGTGCCAAAGAAGGACTACTCAGTTCCTCAGCTGGATCAATTGTAGATGGTTTGAGTAGTGAGCAACAAGAAGCTATGCACAGGTTGGCAACAAGGTTGGTGTAGTAATATAAGATGTGATAGGGCACACTTTACTTATAATGTTTCAGGCTACCTGTCTTTAAAAAACTATCGGAAAAAATCAAGGAAATGCCAGAGTTTGGTGCTTGGCTCCAACAAAGTACGCCGGAGCAAACTGTGCCTCGCGTATGGATAGAGGAAAAACAATTGAGTGATGTCGGTAGCGCTGTGTATCAGCTTTTAGTCATTCAAGCGTTTAGGCCAGATAGAGTTATAGCTGCTGCGCAACTATTTGTCTCCGCAGTTTTGGGAGCCGATTTTATGCCCTCTGCCGAAAAGGAACTAGAGTTAGGCTCTATTATAGAAAAGGAATTAAAAGGTAATAATTTCAGGGTTCTGTGATCGTTATAAAAACATTTTTTCATTACAGCCAGTGTACCTGTACTTCTCTGTTCTGTACCTGGGTTTGATGCTTCGGGACGTGTTGATGATTTAGCAACAGAACTGAATAAACAGATTTCGAGTATTGCCATTGGGTCCGCTGAAGGATTCAATCAGGCAGATCGTGCGATTAACATGGCTTGTAAAACGGGCCGGTAAGTTTCCTTCTAGATTTTATGAAAATAGTCTTTAGGTAGTAATTTATTTCATAAGAACATTAATGTATTTCGTATTCACACTAATCTATAGGTTCCCCAAACACAGGATTTTGTTTCCGTTTTACCGTTTGCTCTCATTGTAGTTGGGTTATGCTTAAAAATGTCCACTTGGCCCCGCAATGGCTCGTACAATTGGAAAAAAAGTTGCATTCCCTGCAACCTCATAGCAGCTTCAGACTTTTCCTTACTATGGAAATTAATCCAAAACTACCTGTTAACCTGTTGAGAGCTGGAAGAATATTTGTTTTTGAACCACCTCCGGGCATTAGAGCCAACTTATTGCGAACATTCAGCACTGTAAGTTGAAATTCGTACGGATTTTATGGTTTTAAAAGAATAATTGTTAAAACTAGGTGCCCGCCAGTCGAATGATGAAAGCACCAAACGAAAGAGCTAGACTCTACTTCCTTTTGGCTTGGTTCCATGCTATTGTTCAAGAGAGATTGCGGTATGCGCCTTTGGGGTGGGCGAAACATTATGAATTCAGCGAGTCTGACTTAAGGGTCGCTTGCGACACTTTGGACACATGGATTGAAACAACAGCCATGGTACATACATCTGCGTAACCATTAGTTTATGTACCGTTTTAACTGATAAATGTTTAGGGAAGGACAAATTTGCCACCCGAGAAGGTTCCATGGGATGCGTTAGTGACCTTACTATCCCAGTCAATTTACGGCGGTAAAATTGATAATGACTTTGATCAACGTCTATTGCAGTCATTCTTGAGTAAATTGTTTACGCCGAAAAGTTTCGAGGCAGATTTCGCACTAGTTGCTAATATTGATAATGGTCCAAATGGAAATAGACATATTACAATGCCCGATGGAACTAGAAGGTGGTATTTCTTTAATAAAAAGTCATGGTTATTCAGTTTTTTTCATCTATAGGGATCACTTCTTAAAATGGATCGAGAGTCTAGCTGATCGACAGACTCCTGCTTGGCTTGGATTGCCAAATAATGCAGAAAAAGTTCTCTTGACAAATCGAGGAACAGACTTGATAGGAAAACTTTTGAAAATGCAACAACTTGAAGATGACGATGAATTGGCCTATTCCGTAAGCAATGATTTATTATTGGATTTCCTGTTATGTCTTACTAAATATGCAGCAAATCAAGTTTCTTTTTGGGAGGCATGTGTATATCATAAATTACAATATTTCGCATTAACCTATTTTAATTAATTAATAAATTACAATATTTCACATTAATCTTGTTTCGGGTTGATTAAATATGCAACAAATCAAGTTTCTTTTGGGGAGGGTTGTATATATCAAAAATTACGATATTTCACATTAACCTATTTTTTGGTCAACTAAATATACAACAAATGAAATTGATTTTGGGCAGGCATATGTATACCATAAATTTCAATATTTCACATTAACCTATTTTTGGATCAATTAAATATGGTACAAATCAATTTTGTTTTGGGGAGGGATGCATATATCATAAATTACAATATTTCACATTAACCTGTTTTCGGATCAACTTAATATGCAACAAATCAAGTTTATTTTGGGGAGGGTTGTATATATCATAAATTACAATATTTCACATTAACCAATTTTCGGGTCAATTAAATATGCAACAAATCAATTCTGTTTTGCGGAGGGGTATATATATCATAAATTATAATATTTCACGTTAACCTATTTTCGGGTCAACTAAATATGCAACTAATCAAGTTTATGTTGGGGAGGGGTGTATATATCATAAATTATAATATTTCACATTAACCTATTTTCGGGTCAACTAAATATACAACAGATCAAGTTTGTTTCGAGCAGGCGTGTATACCATAAATTACAATGTTTCAAATTAACCTATTTGCGGATCAACTGTATGTTTATGTATTTAAAAGGTTGATGATCATTCGCCGACTGATCCCACAGCACGTATAGACGGCCGACCATCTTGGATGAAAACTCTCCATAACTCGGCGCTTACGTGGTTGCAATTGCTTCCTAAATCTTTGCCGACGTTAAAGAGAACCGTGGAAAACATTAAAGATCCACTTTATCGATATTTTGAAAGAGAAGTGAATTCCGGTTCCAAACTCTTGATGGATGTTGTTCATGATTTAAATGATGTGTTACTTATATGTCAGGTACTTTGTGCATTTTATTATTATTCTAAAAGTAAACGTTATTTTTTACCGCGCTAGGGGGAAAAGAAGCAGACAAATTACCATCGTACAATGCTGAATGAATTGGTACGGGGTATTATACCCGCCAATTGGCATAGATACACTATACCAAAAGGATGTACCGTTATTCAGTGGATAACTGATTTTAGCAATAGGGTTAAGCAGTTGCAACAAATATCACAAGTGGTGTCAACGTCCGGAGCGAAAGAATTGCAGGCAAGTTAAAAATATGCAATTTTGCAGCACGTTTGGTTATCTTTGAAATTATTTTTATTTTTTAGAGTTTTCCCGTTTGGCTGGGAGGTCTTTTAAATCCAGAAGCTTGGATTACGGCTACAAGGCAGTGCGTTGCACAAGCTAATAGTTGGTCCCTGGAGGAATTACATTTAGATGTTACAATTACAGACTCCCACGATACAGCATTGGTTCCAAATGACTGCTTTGCTGTAATTGGTAAGAAATTGTCGATTTAGTAACACTGTATGCCAATGAGTATTATTTTATTGAAAAGAGAACTTTGGGACACTGTTACACGAAAGTTTACATCATATGGGAACATTTTTTGTTAATGGGTTTTGGTTAGTTTGGTTAGCAAATTTTGATCCTGGGAATTGTCTTTATATCAAAAATAATAAATTTGTTTTTGCTCACATTTTTGCAAACCTTTTTTACATCCTAATTTAAAGAAATAGGAAGCAAGCTACTTAGATGGACTGGACTGAATACTTTAATAAAATAAAGTGAAATAAATAAATAAATTTAATTTAAACACTCAATTTCAAAGAAAATATTTAAATGCAGCTATTAAATTAATTGCAAAATATTAAATTTAAATTTTATGTGGTTTTAAAATACTTTATATAAAACTTCTGGATTCCTCCTGCGTCGGTTTTTGTTGAGTCGAACTAGCTAACGTTTCGCCAATAATCCGGTTGGCTTCTTCAGAGCTTGACTGAAACTGGTCCACATTTTACTCGGTACCTGCTTTTATATTGTTTGATTGGGGCGGCAAGCAAATGAGGGGCATAAACACGGTCTCGGATGACTGGTGACAGGTAGAGACCTGAGTCGCGGTTAAGATTGTTAGGTTGCTTATAGATTTCTATAGACTCTCTGATAGAGGGCAAGCTTTAATGATAGATTTAAGGTTGCCTTCTATAGATGACGTAAGATCTTTTTTTAAGTTGACGATATGATGTGTCATGTTCATGACCAGAGTAGCCATCTCATCTGCTTGTAGGAGTACGATGTCGGGATTAGATTTTAGAGATTTTAGGGCAATACGTTCAGGCTTTGAAATATTATATATTTTTTATATTTGATTTTTTAATATGTGGGGCAAGGACAACGTTGAAACCTTTTGAAAGAACTGATTTTTCCGTTTCCGAAAGTTGGTGCGATGATACATTTATCAGTCTTTGGTAGTTGAGAAGAGTTTGAATTGTTTCCCTAGTGTTGACGTTAGTTTTTCAAACTTCTGAATGTTCAGATCAAAATTTGTTAAAACTCATTAATCAAAAATGTTCCCATATGATACTGACTTTACTGGTGTCCCGGGTTAGTAAAAAGTAAGCTGTAATAAATATCTTGAAAAGTGCGAAAGCTAAAACATGCTGAATTCAAAAATGCTAAGAGCAATGTTGTCAAATTTTGCGATTATGTTTATAATGTTGGCAATAGAGTATTTCGTTTAAAATAACAAAATTATGTCGTGTAATGTAAAAATGGTAAATCTGACAACACTGCTGTTAACATTTTTCAAAAACTCCCAGATATTGAATTTTGCTGTTCAAGCTTTGGTAGCTTTGGCGATATTTAAGCGTCCCGTATTGTTTACTGGAAATATTTCTCCCAATTTATTAATGTTTCTATAACAGATTTTAAGATATCTGGTAGTAATGGTAGGTTTCGCTGGCTAACATTACATGTTTTTTTTTAGGTTTGAAATTGCAAGGCGCTCAGTGCAAAAATAATCAACTGCTGTTAACATCCAGCATTATGTTGGAGTTGCCAGTTACTTTGCTGCGGTGGTTAAAAACGTCGAATGACGAGAAACAATCCAGTAAAAAATTATCATTACCTATTTATTTAAATTCTACGCGTACAGAGCTGTTGTACACAGTGGATTTGAATGTCGCGCTTGGACAAGATCCACATAGCTTTTATGAAAGGGGAGTAGCCTTGCTTACTTCAACCGCTTTGAATTAACTACTACTGTACTCTATACAATTATCCATTAATTTATGAATGCATAACTATAATAAAACTTCGCTAACTGTTCGATGTTTTATTTACTTATTTGAACAAAAGAACAAAAACAATATCACATTAATACACCCAATTCGGGTAAAGCTAACAATCAAATCAATCGAGTTCCTTTCGAAGCATTACATTAAAAAGCATAGACAAACTCCTAATTTTCTTCTAAAGTCAGTTCCATATGAATGCGTGTGAATTACAATCATTGGCTTCTCTCTGGTCGTACAGACTAATCTACTAATTTTTCTAAGGATGGTGGCAAACAAGACAACATTTAATGCTAAATTGAGCATAAACATTGAAGACTATCTGGTGTCCTTAAAAAAAAATTGATGCAGCCATTGAAAGTTTCGAGATATTATTAATTTAAGAATAACCTAACTAAATGTACAACAAAAAAATCAGTCGTATAGTAAGAAATGGTATGAATAAAATTAGAAAAATAAAAGATTTTCTATAATGAATTTAAATATTATTTAACTAAATACTTTTTAAACAGTGTTTATTTTTTAATTTCTTTTACTTTATGGAAAAACTAATTATATCACATACAATATAAGAACCACATTTTACTAGGGACACTTAAGCAAAAACAGTAGCAGGTAAATTAAAAAAAAATAGAGCTAAACAACAAGATCCTTTTAAAACGGCGCAGGCAGTTCATCTACGGGTGTTATTGGTTCTCTCCAATAATTAAATTGCGAGTAATCACTAGCTGCTTCGAGTCGAGATGGGTATAACTGATCCACAATGATGCTCATATTTGTATAACTGGAAACAAAAGATACGAATTATTAATTATTATTAGCAGAATATTTTACAATTATAGTATGGCTTGCATAAAAGTTGTTAATGGAAAATAGTTTTTTTTTCGGAATATGCTCAATCAGACTATAGAATAAATGCAAAAAAATCCACCAGGCACCAAGTTCACTTGCCGAACAGGAGGATAAATCTTGAAAGCACTTAAATGATTAATAAAATCTTATCAGATTCAAAAATCTGTAAAACCGTTAGTAATACAAATTGGAAATGCTTATTTGTCTAGACAAATAAATAAAAATGTTATTAATAATGACTTGCAAAAAATGTATGCTCGCTTTTATAAAAAATTATTTAATATCTATTTCATACTTTGTTTAATAATTCAAATCTTATGGGACAAAAAGAATAGTTTTCTGTCCCTATTGTTTTTTTTAAACAAAGAAACATTATTTTGGTTTCCTCTTCATTCATTTCTTTTGACAATTTGCGTGATAATATTCAAGCCAGCTAACACACAATTACTAAAGGTTATTTAAACGGAATAATGGGAAATGAGTTTAGTTTTATTGCCATTACGATAATGCGGAAAATAAAAGTGATATTGGTCCAACTTTTACATACATAATTGTGAAATATTGGAAAAAAAATGCAAGCAAGAAATATTGTGTTTCACGAAAAGTAAATGAATGAAAGTTACATGCTTCAAATCACGAAATTAATAGAATCAATTAGAAACATCATTCGTCATGTATCTTACCATTTGGAAAAACACCTTGCAAACCAGTAGCAACCCAGACGTGGAGATAAATTTAAATTACCAAGCAATAAGTATGTAGTTTGCCAGTTTCAACGAAAATTTGAAACGAAATGTTTGGCAAAAAACGGGCATTTTGTACCTCTGGTTTCAAGAAAAATACTCAAATATCACAGTCAAAACATTATGTTTTAATCCAAAATTCTTAATGTTCGAGCACCAATGATGACTCGGAATCAGTCAAATCATTTTGATCTCCGATTGATTCACAGTCATCATCAGATGCCTCTTCTTCAACTTTATACAACAATGGAGGGAAAACCTCATTGACCACCAAAGACTGACCGCTGTAACTGTAAAATTAAATAAAAAATCATCAATAATTATTGCTAAGGTGACAAAACAAAACAAAACATTGCATGCAACAAGAAGCTTTGCCCCTTCAGCGGTCACCAGACAATTGAAAATATTGCTTACCTTGATTGAAAAGTCTGAGTAAGTTCATGCTTGAGTTCTCCTTTTGGATTAATTGTAAAAATACGTTTGATAGGAATACCAACTGCTCGGTAGGCCCATACATCCTAAAAGGAAGTGGATAATATACTCAAGGGGGGAAATATGCAAAACGAATTACTTAACACTAGCTTTGAGGACTTACATTTATCCTGTTTCCATAACCAGCATAGAAAGGATTGGAGTCGGGTGGAAAGAGAGCCTTGATATCAGACATGCATGATATTTTGAACTGCTCAGGCTTCTTTTCTATAACTTCTCTATAAAACAATTTTAAACATGAAAAACCTCACTAAATGCACCAATGAATAAAAATTATACCTATGGAATGCTGTAATCAAGGAAGTAGGATTTAGTAAAATCGGTCCGTCTGGCATGCCGAAGTTTCCCTGTCTAATTGATTTTAGGTATTCCCGAGTAATCCTGGCTTGACCTATGGCGCGGGCGCTTAAATACAAAAGTTTATATCCATTGTCTCTAATTTTATTGAATAACTGAGCGACTCCAGATTGAGCCCAATCCTTTCCAACAATCGGCAAAATGTGGCCTAATACATCGGACCTAAACAGAACAAAAGTTCCCAGTCCGGTACAAGAGAGAAATTACGAATCGCAAACTACTAACTTTGTTATAGTCCCATCAATGTCTGAAATGACTATCTTGTCATCCCATTTCCATCTATACAAATTACAACGGCATCGGGATGTACCCTGATACGCAGTCGTTACACTAAACTCCACTTCATTAACACCATTTTTTAGATTAAGAGATGCCTACAAAGTTATTAGCAAAGCATTAGAGTCTTGGTAGATGGAGTTATATTTATGTGAATAAAAAATCTTACTATTTGTTTAGAGCTCAGCCTAAGAACTTTTCTGTATTTGTCGGAATTTGTTGATATCTTCGATTGACTAGAAATGTTGGTGGGTTCGTCTCGGGAGCTGCTTGCTTGACTAGTTTCTGGAAGTAACCCTAATCAATAACGCTTGAACGTTGGTTGCATACTAAATTCTCACAAAATTAAATTGCATACCTATAGGAACTTCCACTTTAATTTCACCAAGCGGTTCAACTTTCTTAACCGATAATAATTCATCTTTGGTATCAGCAGCCTTATTAGCAATAACAGAGTCTTCAAGTAAGGGTGTTGTTTCTCTCGATGTCTTGCTACGTCTCCACATCCACCATGAATACCTTTGTTGCTCTTGTTGTTTTGCCACATCTTTATTTTCCTCTTTAGTTTCCTAAAGTAGGAAAATGTTTATTTGCTTTTTAAATATTGATTTATTGAAATCATCTGTGTCCACATTAGCAAAAATTAAATTAGAAATTGAAATTCAACTAGCAAACTATGGTTCCGAAAAATGTTTTTTTGCCATTACATTAAAATCAGCAATTCATCCATTTTAAATATAAGTTTATATATCCTATTTTGATTTTTGACTCGCTACCTAAACGAAAGGTGGGTCGTTTACCTTATTTCACACACTGTAGGGAATGGAGCCAAAAGTTAATTGAGGTATTACAAACCTTCCATTTATTTTAATTTTTTTATATACAGGGTGTTTCATTTTCGTGGGCGAGTATCAACTTTCTTATTTTAAATGGAACACCTGGTATATTACTTTATTTTTGAATTCTATACCAAATTCTAGACATATTTTGTGCGTAATGTCCTATACCTATATTATTGAATTTCATTTTTAATCTTATTTTTCGCGTGCTTTGTATTAATATGTATCGAAATTTCTTATGAAATCCGTTATTAGAGTCCTGTGTCTACAACAATAAATGCTGCCGATTGAAGAAATTGGCCGATATTTTACGTCTTGCAAACGTCATTTTGTCAAATAAAAAATTTAAAACGTCAAAAACGGTTAAACTTAGGTATACGATATTATGCACAAAATATGTCTAGAATTTTGTATAGAATTCAAAAATAAGAAAGTTGATACTCGGCCACGAAAAATGAAAAATCCTGTATATAAAACATTAAAATTAATTGAAGGTTTGTAATACCCCAATTTACTTTTGGCTCCATCCCCTATAGTTTCTGAGATAAGGTAGTGTCCCAACATAAACGGCCCACCCTATACATTATGGACATATTATGGAATCAATCCACCAAAACAGGATAGTTGCTCCGATCTATCGTTGTTAGTTCATCTTTACCGACTATAGAATTAGCTTTTGATATCGCATTTGATATGCGTCTTTGGTGTTATTAATGTGAAAATAAAATATAACCGGTTTTCTTGTGTAATAAAAAATCAAATTCTTGAACTCAAAGTATCTGGTAATAGTCTAGCTCCTGCAAGAATTCAACAACTTATAAAGCGTCATACATTAAGACACTTCTGCTTAATCAGTAAATCAGTAAAAGATTTTCAATAAAAAAAAACTATTACCTGCGGCATGTATGTACTGCAAAGTTGATCCACAGTTGACTGCAACAATGACCTTCCGTAAATCATAACGCTAGCTATAATCGGCGCAGCCACCTTCCAGGTGTAATATTTGTCCTTAACTCTAACAACCAAGTTTGGGTTTTCAAATAGTACTGGATTATTACAGAGATCACTAAATGTAACCAAATGTTCCAAGAAACGGTCCGCGGAGGGCTGCGGGTCCCACCCACACAGCGACATGGAAACATCGTGAGAATAAGACTGAGCTCTGCAATAAGGAATATGATAATATAGTATTTTGGACACGATTTGAAAGAAAATGCGTCAGAACTTGCGAATATACAAAGACAAATCGATCGTCAATTTCGTTTTTAAGGGAACTACTATCACCAGCTTAAGGCTTTATTATCAATTTATTGGGTCGCTATATGGTTCAACTAATTGAAATTAATATATTGGTTTTAGTCAGTGACTTGTTGTATCCTGGACAACTTTCTATTTAATTATTTAAAATAAATATCACTCCTTTGGAATGCGCAAAAATCGATGAAATTAACAACAGAGATAATTTTAAGTGACTAATCGTAAAGGGTCCTACTTGACCTTTAGCACAACACACCTGATCGGAAAAAAATAAAATAAAGAAGCGATGTTAGGAGCATCACCCTTTTGATCCGCTGTGATCTTTTAAAAAGAAGTATGGTGAATGACAGCAAATAACGAAGGGCATATACCGGGAAATATCATTCAGTTGCTTAAAACCATTTTCATATTTAATTTGTTAAATACGTGACAACAATAAAATCACACAACAGAGGTTGAAATTTTTAAGCATCCTAGTGCAACGACCACAGTTGTTTGATCAATAAAAATTTTAAAAAAAGTGTATTCACGAATAATTAAAATTCTTTTTCTTTCAAAGAAAGTTCCACAGGCTACTGTAATACTATTTATGAAACTTCTGGATTCCTCCTACGTCAACGTTTCGCTTCGTTGGCTTCTTCAGAGCTGAACTGAAAGTGGCTCGCATTGTACTCTGTAGTTGCTTATTTATTGCTTGAGGGAGCTAAATGAGGGTCATAAACATCGTCTCGGATGAGTGATTCCCATATTGGTGAAAGGTAAAGACTCGAGTCGAGATTATTAGATTAGATTAGATTATTAGAAGAATTGATTAAATGCAAAAATTTTATTGAATAAGAGTTTATGCAGAATTTTGTGATTGTATTCAGCAAGTGTTGATGAGTTTATTTGTCTCAGTCTTGAGGCTCTTTCATGTTTTTTGAGCCTAGTTTATATTTTTCGTCTGGTTTCTCCAATATACTCTTAGACGCATATGCATGGATTACTGTAAACTCCTAGTATCTCAAACGAAATTTTGTCTTTGTCAGATCGAAGATGTTGAGAGATTTTTGGACAAGTGGTAAATCTGGTTTTGACATATTTCTTAAGAACTTTTGATATGTGGTCAGTGAAGTTTTGAATGTGAAAAGTGTGGGATTGCTTTCAAATTCATTGCTATTGGAAGGTTGTGGTAAGATGTATTTTGTGGAACTCTTAATATCTTTAATGTGGAAATTATTAGAGAGAAGAGCAAAAGTAAGATGCTTTAATTCTGGGTTCAGTGACTCGGGCTGAGATAGTTTTACAACTCTGTAAAAAAGAGAGTTGATTACACGGGAGAATGGTGTTGTGATTATGCATTAAGGTATTGGTCTGTGTACGGAAGTTTTCTGTGAACACAATGACCCAATGACTGATTTTCTATTTATAAGAATATCTAAAAATGGGAGGTTATTATTAGTTTCCAATTCAATAGTAAAACCTATGTTAGGGTGTATAGATTTGAGACTTCTAAGAAAATCTAGTAAGGACTCTTGACCATGACGTCAAATAACCAGAGTGTCATCGACGTAGCGTTTGCATAATTTTGGTTCTGGTAGAGAGCTTTCTTCTCAAAGGCTTCCATAAATATAATGGCGATGATGAGCAAGTTCGACTCAACAACAACCGACGCAGGAGAAATCTAAAAGTTTTGCAAATAGTACTGAAATTCTTATTAAGTACATCAACATCTGATTAAAATATTTATGTACAATCATAAATTGGGAACATGGCGATGGTACTCATAGGCATTTTGAATTTAATCTGGATATAATGTAGGTTCGAAAATCAATTTAAGTAATTTATTTATTATTAATAATTTATTTATTTATTTAAGTATATCACAATCCTAAATAAAGATAGGAGAATGCTACAATTTACTTACAATTTAGTCTGCTCTTCGAAGTCGGAATCAATGCTCTTACAACCTTCACCACTGTTGGGACTTTGGATCAACGAAGGTCCATTGCCTGATTCACAATCCATGTCGATATCTAAATTTTATACATTTACGATAACAGACAACATAAAAACTAATAGCTACAAAAAAAATCTTAGAAACATTAAATTTAGCGCAAAATAGCAAATCATATACATATGTAATTGATATTGCAGCACACAAGCGTGTTTTAAACTAACTACTTTTTTCACATAGTTATTTGAAAAATTTTAGAACCCTTAAGTAAAGCATTTCAAAGTTCCATAGTATATATGCAGAATTTGTAAAACTTGGTATGCTAAGAAATGAAAAAAGCTTTTATCAACAATGCTAAATCATACATTCTTAGGCGTCAGCTAATTCAAGACTTTAATTAAGTATGGATAAATATATTTACATGCAATATATATGTAGCTTTTTCAAGGAAACTTCCACAGGCTACTGTATTACTATTTACAAATCTTCAAGATTCCTCCTGGTTGTCGATAAATCAAACTTGCTGAAGTTTTGCCAGTCATCCTGTTCGCTTGGAAGGAGGAGTCCCCAAGATTTGTAAATAATGTGTATGAAGTACGCAACAAGTCTTTCACTTGCATTTTGATCGACAAAAATTCAGACTGTAATTGACTTACCTTCCGCTGCTTTCCTTTTCTGGTTGAAATACACATCCGCTATTTCCTGATCGACTGTGTCCGATGTTATCTCTGATAAATACATGCCGCCTTCGACATGTCTTGATTGACTATTATGCTTCGATTTCATAAATGAAAACATACTGCTTAACATGGATTTGTGTTCTTCTTTACTAGGATTTTCACTTGTTGGAGTGTTCGTTTGGGAAACACTAGGAAATCCACCCCACTCCCAACTTTTCGCAGATTCGTTACAATCATCTAAAAAAGCAAATTATTTAGCTACAATATAGTTCAACTTTAATCACGGACTTACCTTTAATCCTAAACTTCACTTCAATTTCAGAGTCTGATTGGACAGATTCAATGCGAACAGGACTACTTGCTCGAGAATCAACATTTCCACTGGTAAGTTCAGTATCACTGAAGAAGTGGAAATCGGCATCGATTTTCTTAAAACTCGGCGCATCAGCGAGTATAACTGAATCATCTTTAATCCTAAAACAAAGAAAGTGATTTTAAACCAAGCTATCACTTCCAACAGTCTTTTACTTACTGCAGTTCTTTCAGTTCATGTTCAGAGTAGTTGCTGCCCAGCGAGCTACGATCTGTGGTCGAATCATTAGTCCTCTCTAAAGTGTCCGATCCTTGTCCGGCGATAATTTGATTATTATTGTTTTGTGCCTTTCTCGTTGCATTTTTCTTTCGCATCTTTTTTCTCTTCTTTTTGCTGCTCTTACTTTCACATGAAGGTTCTTCTATTGGTTTTACAGGCGTCACAGGTAACTAAATAAACATATATTGTTGTTAATTGAACTACACAATGCTTACCTACCGTTGCTTACCGGTACTGATAATTCTTGAATTTTTTCATTATCTGTTTTACTTAGCGATTCCTCTAAACTATCCATTCTAAATATTGTCTCTGAGATATCATCATTTTGACTGCGACTTATATCATCTTCGCTACGTTTGGAAGCTGTAGTCAATGACAGAGTGACATCTTCCACGGAGGCACCTCCTTCTATATTCCCAAGTACAATCTAAAAAAATACCATACAAAAAGGCACTTAAATGATAAAACATCAGATAGCAATACCTGTCTTTTGAGGAAGTCTCTTTCTAGCTGCGCTCTGTTGCTGCCTAACTGGTTGTCTGCTGTATGACGACGTTTGGTATATGAATTAGGTTCGATGTTGAGTGTTTTAATGTCTTCCAGATCGAAGCTTCGTCTACGGCCCTGCAATAAGGAAACGTTTTTAAAGTTTTGCTGAAGCAAATGACTATGCAAAAAAATATGCAAATCTTCATTTTAATGAAAATTAAAAATCTGCCACTGCAGACCTCTCTGGTATTGCATTCAATACTACTTGTCTGTTCTACATGAAACAGCCTGATCAAGCTATAATATTAGCACCAATGATAATTGCTAACTGTTACCGGAAATAAATATTGCGCATAGTATAAGAAACCGGCAAAATTACCGAGCATCTTATGCAAATAGAACTGCTAGATGTAAAATATCTTTTACTAAAGAAAAATAGTTAAAGTTCGTTTAAGGAATTACCAAAAAAAAATAGGTGGTACATTTCAATCTTGCGACATAACAGGGTATTTGACAGGTTCTGAAAAATTTTCATGTAACGCCCTATCGTGAAGCATATAATTTAGCAAATTGAAAACCAAAATAAATAAGCTACTTCCCACCAAAATATGAAAATATAAACTTTGGCATGCTATATAGCAATAAAAATATCAAGTACCTGAGTCTTGAAAATGTTCTCCAGTTCGGATACCAAAATTGGCGAGGTTGCTAAATGTTCCGGAATATCATTTTCGTCGTCTTCCAATTCTTCTACGAAAAAAGCTTCGCCGCTCTCGCCAAGTTTCATGTGGATATCAAACGGTTGTCCATTTATTTCGATATCAACCTGTAAGAAGCAAATAAACTTTCTTCTCTTCCTGATTTAGTATAGTAGTCATTAACTAATAAGGCAACATCTATTATTACAAGATTATTGTATAAGTATGTAGGTACATATACAGTAGGTACATAAAATTGGTATTGTACGACCAAAAATATAGTGCACTGCTTTGACGGGCCGTGGTAAAACCCATCCCAACCGGGGTTTATTCTGAAATAAGTAGGTTTTCCCTGAGATGGATGGAAACTTGATATTTTTATTTGAAACGTAAATGGACCGTTTAAGCAATGATGCTGCGTGGTATTTTCGAATAAGTAGAAGCTTTTATTTTAACATTAGGTCATGTATATTGTTCTTAAGAGTTTTAATCTAAATTGTAATATGTTAGTATATATTACGTTTGATCCTTTCAGTAAGTACGTATTTATGAACCTAATTCTCGAGCTTTGACCCTGCGTTCAAAGGGTAGGGGTAAGTAACTGTACTCTATTTATCTTGCAGATAAATTTGAAAATAATCATTTTTGTCTTGTGTGCCTGCCGATTAACAACATAGTTCTTCGATTTGTAAACAAGACTATAGATTATATTCGCGGAAGATAATGGTACGTCATAGAATACAGATTAATATTTATTAGAATCTTGCAATTAAAGATTTTTGAAGGTTTCTGTTTTTTAATACTTTAAAATGTGGAGACCGTGGAATGAAGCACATGTTCCCAAGAAGACATGGAAAAAAAACGCAGAACTTGAAGACGAAGTGGAGATGGTAGTCGAACCTAATGACAATTTAGAAGATGCTAAACTAATTGTTTTGCCTGTATATAAATCATATAATAAATTCAGAAGGGGAAGTAGGAGCAAAAATAAAAACGAGTGACATAGAACGTAATAAATTGTTACTTTGTACTAAATTTTTTTATGTACATGTTTCAAGAATTTCTCGGCGAAAAAGATTGAAAACATACTTATATCCCGCTTGTTAGTGTAGGTAGATAAATTCCTAGGACGGTCCCGGAATTGTTACGGATAAGGGTCTGATCGACAGTTCTATAAGGGGCTGCGGTTTTGGAGTAATAAACAGTAGGCAAAGTTAATCACCGGGTCTGTTGTAAAAGCACTATAATTCTGGTCGCAGTATACCTGCGGGTTTTTTGACATGAACAATTTGTATTTAGTACAATTTGTTATAATACAGGATCGTATAAATTCATGAAACTTTGAAAGTGAGAAAACAGGTAGCGCCCCTACAAGTAATTAAATTAAAAACAAATTCCAATTAACGTCCAGAAATCGCCATTATTTAAGAAATTACTCAGAAGAACAAAAATAAAAACAAAACTTTCACACCAAGTAGCTCGAAACCGAAACATTTTAGACAACAAATTTATATAAAATAATAATATCATAAACTCAAACTAAAAAAATATGCCAATTTCCCCAGTTCTTATCACATAATCGTCCACCTACTAACTCAACTCATCGGCTCTAAGTGAGCCTTTGGTGAATTCTGAACTAAATAATTGAAACAAACTTAATTAAAACTTAATAATTTGTGGTTTGGTCTGCCATTAACATCTCGATATTGCCAAAAAATATCTGCAATACCATTACACATACAGAATGTTCCAAAATGTATGAATCAAATTGATGACATGCCCTGCCCCTTACCTTTTGTATCGAAAATAGAACAAAATGGTAGAATATCGTTAAATCAGCAGTACTTTTGGAACTATTATAGCTTTTATTCGTATTTTTGTTTTCGTCTTCCACATTGTGGTTTTGCGTGAAGATGAAAAAATCAATAAAACGTACTATTATAAATATTGTGTGTCTGTTCGGTAATCTATAATGGACAAATTAATGCAGTAAACAAAATTATATACTGATACGCTTTGCCAAAATTACTCCAATAAAGGCGATAACGTTGCGGTAACCACGACCAATCGAAAAAATCATCATTCATTGATCACGTGCAAATATACTTCCAAAAATACTAAAAATACTTTGCAGTCATTATCGACTCGTGCCTTGGTGTCTGTTGCTATAGAAATATAAACTTCATTCCCGTCCAAACAATAAAGCACAGCGAATTTTTGACACATTCTTGGCAATAATTTGTTTATGTCGAATGGGGTACAGAATATCCATGCCAAATTTTTGGTTCATTTCTGTTTATAGCAATAAGATGATCAGCATAAATTTAACAGAAATAATAATTTAAAAAATGAAGTAACTATAAAAATTTGAGCAGTTTTTGTTAGCAGACTTGAAAGTAACGATACAAAAAATAATTAAACAATTAAAATTATAAGAAAACTGTTTTTCATAAAGCTAAATGCTTAGATCGATGGAGAGGATGAAGAGTATTCCGTCTTTTTTACTTACTGAGAATTTTTTGAAGTCGTCTAAAAAGAAACACTCAGAGTAACCGGTAATATTGCACGGTCAAGGTTATTTCTGAGTTCACAGATTTTAAATGAAAAAAAAAACACGCACACACACATTGCATTTTTGAATCATTAAAAATTATTATTTTTTATATAATCTAAGATAGAAGTACACACCCTGAGGTAATTACTTACCACTTTTTCTTTACTCCTTAGCACTCCCAATTTTCCGAAGCGAACATGAAAAGGAGAACAACTGAAGGACCCATCAGGTTGCTCGACAACAATAACATCGATGGCTCCAGTCAAAGTCGCACCATTGATGTCGTTATAGAACTCCTTAAAGTTGGATATAAAACGCATCATACCGTACATTTTGTATGGTGATGCGTCTGGAACTAAACCGGACAAATATTAAAATGGAATTCCTAAACTTGCAATTAAATTAAAATTGCAAGAAAAGTCCGTCACACATTTCGGTAAGACAGATATTGATTCTAAATGCGCGCTGCTCTAGGAGACCGACTTAACAAATCATAAGTGCAGAACGTCGATAAAAATTCTAAAATGTTTGTTTACGCGCCGAAGTTTGCACACAACTATAATACGAAACCTTATGTACACGACTAATGAATCACAAAAATCGAAACCGACAGGCTAAATATACGAGTGGGAGGAAATCGACTCGCGCGATAACTCGCGCATGGTTTCTACGAGGTTCTATATTAAGTTTTCATACGGGTACAGATTTTATTGAGTAGTTAATCAATAAAAATGAGCGTTTTTTTTTCGAAAAAATCTTATACTTATTGTAACTCATTGGGAGAAAATATATCGATTTAAGATCTAGATTCAGATTATCCTTCCACACCTTATAAAAATCGTATAAATATCACCCAATCCATAAATTATAACAGCGGCAGTAGACAATAAAACTGTTTACGTTCTCTGTCACTTTATCCATTTATTTATCAACGAAGGAAATAAAGAACTAACGAATACGGAATGGTTGCTAAGAAAATCTGTATTAAGTTTTCATACGCGTACAGATTTTATACAAACAGTTTTTATTGAGTTCTTATTCCTTCGTTTTCATTCCGAAAAAATCTTATACTTATTGTAACTCATTTGGAAAAAATATATCGATTTAAAATCTAGATTTAGATTATCTTTCTACACGTATAAATATCACTCAATTCATAAATTATAACAGCGGCAGTAGACAAGAAAACTATTTACGTCATCCTGTTTATCAACCTTTTCATCAACGAAGGAAATAAAGAACTAACGAATACGGATTGGAAGTAACCACATATTGTCTACTATACTACTACTATAATTAAATACTATATCATGTTCAGTGAGCAAAGAGAGGAGCAAGTGAGGAAGGAAATCAACAAAGCAAATGGTTGAGTTCTCTGAGTACCACTATTATTAATACCAATAAAAAAAGTAGAATGAGCGAAAGAATTAACAGGGTATCCAATGCAAAAACGTCCGTATGTGATCGCCTTTAGAAATTTGTTTGTTTATAACGCATTGCGCGAAATAATAACTAAATATGGGAAGCATAACAAAAAATAAGCAACTTATAAAACCAAATGACGTTTGTCAAATGTTGATGTATTATTAAGTTTATTACCACAAAATAGATTTGCGTGTGTGATAGATAAATCGTTTAGGATCAGAATTTTTCGATATTACGTGTATTAATAAATTTCAAAATATCCTCTAAGATATAATGTAAGAATTTACCACGCACTGACGTGGTAACTGACAGAGAGAAATAGTAAACTTTCCAAAACCGAGCTATTAGGATAATTAGTTAGCGTCCAATTATTTTCAAGGCAAATCGGTTCATCCCGATTTTTCCTTGGGACTTTATTTTCAGAACTCGGCCAACAACAAAGATTACGGCAAATTACGTAGCTCTTTTCAAAAAAGTTCCAGCCGACGTTTCTGCACGCAGCCTGGGGTTGTGGGTCATACTCGTTTCACTTTGCTTCTTTTCGCGCGTGTATAAAGTGTGCGATCAAAACTTAGACATTCACCACGCGTTAAATAAATACAATTATCAACGAAAAAACTCACGATCTTAAAAAAGTTATTGATACTTGTAACACAACTACCTAGGTTTTGCTTGCGTAGTTGATATATATATACGCCAAAACGCTGTATCATTTAATGTATGTATAATTTAATTTAATGTTAAAAAAAAAATTTAAATGAAAACTGTATAAAAATATGCCTTTTTTTCACATCCAAATATTTATTTTTGACACTTAAAAAAACTTTAGTTAGATTTACATGCATCTAATTATGTTTCAGTACAACCATTAACAGGATTATGACTTAAATCGTAGGAAAATAGAGAAAGTTGCCTTCACTGCCGATAACGAAAACAAAACTGTGGTCGATAGGTAACCATAAAAGAAATTTAGAACCATCAGCGTATAAGAATGGCGAATATATAAGCATATAATAATATAATAACAATATTTAGGTCAGTCGACGTACATTAGTTTAACAGGGAATTTATTACATCAAGTGATCGCGGTGACCTCAATATCGAGCAAATGTTGCCATATTTGGTGCATGCAACATCGTTCTTTGCTACTCGTTTTAATGAACATTTCAAGAAAGCCCAATTACCTGGTCACCTGGTATCAGACTCGACAGTAGGTTCGAGGAATAAATTGGTACAATGCATCGTTTTTTAAGTTAGCCAACTATTTGTTTATTAACAATAAAGTTGTTAAGAAAAACAGTTCTTTTGACTTGCAACTGAAGCTATGGTTTTTGTAGGTTTCATACAAAAGTTGTGAATCTTCAAAACATAAAAAACCACAAAGACAATGATGAAAATCCAGAGCTTTTTTAAAAATCCATAATGCGCCATTTTTTGTTTTGTAGTGCAACACTTCCGTGAAATGAGATTGAGAATTGGTTCAATGGCTTCTATACTAGTTTAAATTAATAAATAAGTAAAATAAATTAATTATGAATTTATTCAGTTTTCACACATCAAGTGAAATTCATTTTTATTTGTTGTTTGGGGCGCGTTTTTAGACAGCAGAAAAAATAGTTTACAGTCACATTTTCGGAATTTAAAAGCAAAATTTTACGCAGAAAACCACGAAGAATACAGAAATAAGTGGCCCTGCGTATTTGTTGACAATAGAATAGAATAGAATAGAATTTTATTGACTATGTTTGTACAATTTTGTACATAAGTCAAAAAAATATCGATAGCAAAAAAAGTATCAAATAAAAATAAATAACAAAAAAAAAGAACACCAGTAGTAAAAAAAATCGCAATAAAATTTTTACAAACACGATAAACAGGTATTTTAAAATATTCAGGTATTCTTTCTTTATTAAATCTATCAATTATGAGAAATCAGTTATAAATAAATAATAGTTGACGGACTCAATTGTTGGTTTAATTCAATGCGAATTGTAATTGTAGTTGTAGTTTAGTTAATGTATTAATGGTACAATTGTTTCAAACAAACCCCTCATTAACGTTCTATCGATAAAAAGTGGTTAGAGTTGGGCCAAAGATATATTTTTATGACATAATCCTCTAATTTTTAAAATTTTTATTACAGTTCAACCACGAACTTGGTATTTATAGCCTCCAACAATACACATGAACTGGAGGCCGTTTGAGGCTGGCATTTAGGTTTTTTATGCTTTGTCAGATTCACTTAAATTTTGATTGTGTATAGATTTATTAAAAATTGTTTCACTGCGAGAAAACATAAAAGAAATAATTTCTAGAATATGATCCTCTGTAGTCAAAATGACTAGCGGAGAACATTTTTGAGCTATTTATTAGGGCTTACAAATTAACCTTCTGTAAAAGTTAAAGACGGAATAATTTGTAAATAGGCCAACTATATCAGTGTCAATATATTAGAACCATCATTCTGACAAAATATATATTATTAAAACTGAATACAAAGCTAACTTCGCCTGTAGGGGGAAAGCCGTTTCTTGTCTACGTGCGAAGGCACTGAAATGATGAGTGTTGTGTTTATTGGAGCCGAACTGCGCCTCATTCCCACACGCTTGTGTATATTATCATTTTCCTACGTCGTACACACACCTCCTATCTTGACCAATAATTGTGTTTTCGTCAATATTTTGCACGGATATGACGTACATATTACGTGGTAATATTTTTGTTTACAGTCCTTGAAACAGGAATACTATTTTCTACGTATTGCATGTGTGAACCAAAACCATTTCTCTTAGCGATTAGCTGTTGTGATCGTACGATATGGCGTGTTTTCGAATTCCAAGCGTTGTAAATGTCATTGTTTCCTTAACAATAAATAAATATGTTTTCATTTTATTCTCTACAGTTGAAGATCGAAATTTTCGAAGTTTAATTTCGTAGTAAAATCACAATCTCTAATCTCAATTAAAGTATGGAAACACTGAGTATAACTGCATATTTGGTTTACAAGTATTAAAATATCTAGTTTTTAAATAAACAAAAAATTTACATGACTTGATCGCCTACAATTTATGATAAATCAATACATATACTGATATATTATCATAAAGAATATAATAAATATAATGTGTGTGTACGACAGTTCATTGTACTTTAACTTCGACAATCGTTCAAAGAAAAGCGGAATTAACGGTAGTTTTGCAATTTTTAATGAAATCATTTTGCTTGTAAATCACGCCATAGATGACGTGTCACAGCTAGGCAAAAAGTCGAAATGAAAATAAAGAAGGTGGTTTTACACAAAATCCACTGTTATCGTAAAATTAACCTAATTTAATTTCGGTTATGACTTGCTTAGAGCGAAACATTTTAATTCAACATGTTTATTGTCAAAAGGCACCCCTGTCCCAAGGTACCAGGTGAAGCGTATTTGGAAATGAGAACCATTGTTACTAAAGTCTTAAAACCATAACACGGAAAGAAAAGCGAAACCTTATATTATAAAAATAAGTAACTAATAAATATAATCGAACAAGTTACACAACCATCAATTCGCAATATGTTAAAAAGTCGATATCCTTGAATTCCTCATATTTTAGTTAGTAATTATAGAAAATTATCCAAAGAATTTAAATTTCAAAATAATAATAGCATTCATCAGATCAGAAAGTATCGGATACGAAAATTGTCGAAAAACTTCAATTCCTCAGAAAAGAACAAAACCAATGTTTTACTCAGTAAAAATTCACAATTAAATTGGAACAAAAAATGTTCAGATTATTTCTTGGTTTATGGCAGCGGAATCAAAAAGCAAAAAACTAAATTTGAGATATTCGAATTTATTACTTAATGACTACCTGGATTTAAATGCGTCTCCCTTGTTAAATTTAAATTTATAACCTTACAACGGTAATTCAGAATCTATTAAGTTTATATACATAGATGTCGGAATATTGTCGTCTTTTGTATTTGACAAAGGAACGGCGTTGCTGAAACAGCAGTCATAAACCAATAATTAACTGTAAAAATTTGAACATTTTTTATTCTTATTCTTAATTGTGTTAAATTGATTTTCATCAAATAAAAGCCACCTCAGTTCAATTCAGTAAAAATTACATAATTTTTGCTGTAGTATACATATAATTGCATATTAGAAAGTAAAGATCAAATGCAATTC